CCTACATATATCTAAGGTTCTTACTTAGTTTCTTTACTGCAAAATAATAAAGATAATATTTGGGCACGAAGTGTGAACATTTGAATATACGAGTATATTAAGCAGGCTATAAATATAGCTTTTAAGGTACTTTATTAATTATTGATAACTAATTTTAGACTTCTAATGCACTCTATATTATTTATGTCTTCCGATGCAATTTTTCTATATTTTATTTTCCATATTTTCGGATCAAAAGCCTCATTTGACCAAATATGAATATTTTTTATGACTCAGGCCATATGCGGCTTAAGCCGCGCATTATTTTTGGCGCTTAAAAACATTTTTGGACTACAGTGCGTCCATTGAAAATGGCCTTTTGTTGCTGCATATCGTCCATATATATATATATATATATATATATATATATGTCTTGTACATGCCGTGAATGGTTAAGCAGTTGCTGGACGAGAACCTCAGGACGGCACGTCCGAGTGGACAGTATTGCTAGGGCCATACAATAGGCCTATACAGTCAGCAAATTGAAGTTGAACATTTCCCTTTATGAGCGATCTGTATTATTGACCAACCCTGTTGGCTACCTGTTGGCATGCTGGCCAACTAATAGGCGACTTAATACAACAACCACGTACCTAGCCTCATAGAGTTATTAGTGTCGTCTCAAAAGACACAAGACAATGGGCAGAGATCGCAGAGGAGTAGAACCCGTATTGGGTAATTGAAATGCTGATCAACTTTGCGCAGAGAGAACATTTTTAAAAAGCTAACAAAAAATATGAAATACATAATTATCATTTTATACCTTACAATTTTATTAATGGTAAAGATTGTAAAACAGATAAGGTAAATTAAGTGTTAAAATGTATTCTCCGTTTTTATCTTTTGAAATTTTAAGCAGTTTAAATATTATTTCATAATCATTAAGAAATTATTTCAAGAATATTCTATACTTTTTTCTAAATCATATTTTAAGCAAATCCAGAAAAGCAACTGTAGAAAGCAGAAAGAAAACTGGAGAGATGACTTCAAAGCTGATTCCAAATAAGTAATCAAATCAACATGCAGATAAGCCAGATGTGTATTTTAGACAAATATAATAAGTGTGTCTAGAACCATGAACAATGAGCGGGCATTGTGCGATATATTTGAGTAGTAGAAGAAGAAGAAGAAGAATAAGAAGAAGAACAGTGTCAGCATCTCTGCAATGCCAAGTTAATTGAAATTGTGATGAATAGTCGGACGAGTGTTAATGAGCACTTTGGCTAAGTTCAGTAAGTAAGTTAGTTTTTTTTTGCTCTGAGGCAACCGATTCCTTAATGGTCAGTTCGGCTGGCTACTTGGCTATTATTAATCTTGAGCAGCCGCCAGAAGGCAAAATTGCAGCAATGAGCGAGCGGCAGAGACAATGCTGAACAGAGAGACAAGCACAGGTTGTGGGAGAGAAGAGATCGGCAGCAAACAAGAAGCAACAGCAGAAGCAGCAGCAGCAGCAGCAGCATCCTCATCAACAGGTAGTAAACCGCCAAGACGTGCTCATCAATAACAATACAATGGTTTCGTGCGTGACATGTTCGAAGCTTCAAGCTCAACGAAAGAAGCAGCGCTTGAGAGAGGGAGAAAGACAGTTAGAGAGAGGGAGGAACAGCGAGAATGAGAGAATCTGTGTAGAAGCAAAAATAAGTTGACAGGCAGCTGGAGCGGACAAACGAAGAAGAGAAAATACTGAAAACGAGTGCAAACTGCGAATGCACTCAAAAAAACTACAACTTCACTCAAGAACACACAGCTACAAAAAAAACGAGAGAAACAAAATACATTCAACAGATACACACCTCGAACAAAAAAATACTGGTTTCAACGGCAGGCGGCCAAGTTCGTTACAAAGATTTGCTTTCATTTTTCCGTTAACGGCCACAGCGAGTTCGTGTGTGTATCCGACAAATACACACACAAATGTGCATGTATATGCATGTGTGTGTGTGTGTGTGTTTGTGTGTTCGTATTCAAACTGCAGCAGCTGCGATTGTCTCTCTGAGCCGCGTTCTCAACTTGGCTTTGCCTTTCTTTCTTTCGCTCCGGCTGCTGCTTCGGCTGCTGCTTCTGCTGCTGGTTTTGCTTCGGCTTTTGCTCTGCTCTTCTTTGCATGCTTCTTTCGCTGCGGCTGTTATGTTAATCCACTGGCTAAACATCCCAGCGAGACTCTATTCCATTCCCAATCCCGTGCCAGACACACACACATACACACTCACACCTGAGCGGCAGCTGCAGCTGCGCACAGCTCTTGGTTCTCAGTGGACAGGTAGTCAAAAAGGTTATTTGATTACTCAACAGCCATTTTTTCTGTCGCTTCCTCTCCAGCGTGCCCTGCACACTGCCTACCTGGGCTCTTTGGCCTTCTGCTGAAGCCCAAAAACCTTGTCATGTCATCAGAATTTTTGCAGTTTTTTGTGTAGTCGCCTTTTTTCTGTTGTGCGTGTTTTGTTATCGGCATTTGGCCGAGATAGGAACGCATCTGTCGTTATATTTTTGGGTCCTTCCGCAATTCACAAACACCTTGAATACTTTTAAGTTCTTAATTTTTGGGCATTTTAGTAAACTAATATCAAATTCTTAAAAATTATTTAACACATTAAGACTTGATAGCAGTTTTTACACATATCATATCAAGATGATCTCCATTAACTGAAACAGACAAAAATAATTTTAAAAAATAATCATTTTGGCTTCAGGAAAAAATATTTTAAAACTTTGTAGCTTTATTTTTTGTACTTGAGAGCTACTAACAAGATTTGTTACTGTGGCTTGGAATTATTCCCGATTCTATTTTCCAACACAGAAAAAATAATTCGTAATTTTTGGGCTCCCGAATCAATTGAAAAGCAATATCCATAAAATTAATGAACCTTTGACCGCGCTACAAAAATCGTAAAAGTGTAATAAAAATGTAAAAGCTATTTGTTCGTTATGATAGAAGAGATGTATGAGTCAATATGTAAATCAGTTGCTTTAAAATACAAAAAAAAGTAGGGTGGAAAAAGTGCATTAAAATTGAGCTGTTTTCAGTCGGAAAATCGATGATCATACGAAACGGCAGCTGCAACTGTGATCTAAAAACTCAGCTCAGAGAAATGACCCTGGTTGCTCAATTATATACATACGTAAATAGATGTAGACATAAAAATGCAGTCAATTGATTGGTGCACCTGCATTCGCTTCAGACTGCACTCAATTATTGCTCCCGTTCGATATTCTTTCATTCGTCCGCCCGTCCGTCCATTCGTTGGTAATCCATTTGTGCTCGTGCCGCAATCGATTTGTTCACAATTCACACAATTTTGAAGCCGGGGCAACATTGGGCGGCCTACTTACGACTGCGACTCGCTGATAAGATAATGGGGCTTTTCCTCTGACGCCAAATGACTGACAGCGAAACCAGTCCACGTGGGGGAATACGAACAGAACCGAACCGAACGGAACGCAACGAACTCCCCTCTCTCTCTCTCCTAGAGTGTAAACAGTGCCTTTATAAAAAAACATTTGCTTAGTGCTCGCTGTATTTGTTTAGAATTTGGTGTCAGTGTTTATTTTGGAGCTTTCATAAGTTTGAACTTATCATGGCATTGTATGAGTGTACACTTAGAGAAAATCTATACAATATAATCTGCTGCTACAATGCCTGACTATTTCTCAATAATTATAAATCATTATTGATTTCAAAATACGTCAAGAAAAACCAATAAAAAGTAATATTTACCTGTTAATAATTGTAAAATGTGGACAGTTTTTAATTAAAATTTGAGTAGAAAATGGTGTATCTGTTTGCCAAGTGTATGTCTGTGACTTCTGGCAATCTTATCGATCGTTTGGAGGGGTGCATTTATGTTTATGTGTTAAACATAAAAGTAGGTCTATTCCCAACACAACTTTGCTGTTGAGCTTTTTCAAAACTGAACTGTACAATTTAAATACGGTACAGTATTCCATTTTTCATTCCTGTCAAGAGTCGGCTGATTGGGCTTCCTATATACCAGGCATATATGTATGTAAATACTTACTCCCATACCTTGGGCTTATCTCCCACGGGGTCAACTTTGAGATGCTGTTAAATCGTAGAAATAAAATGCGTTTATTTTTTTTTCTTCTTTTTAATATTTCTGGTTTGTTTTTTGTTTGTACACAATTGTTGTGTGTGTGTGTGTTTGTGTGTATTGATATTGTAAATTTATTTGTATATAAATAAATTTGTCAGTTATTCATAATGCGTTGGCATGTAAAAAATTCGCTTAGTTTAGGACTCTTTCACGAAAAACGACTTATAAAAATACATATCGCATTTATTTATTTAAACATTTTTCACATAAAACTTTGTTTCCTATTATTATTATTAAATGTAATATTCTTATTTCGAATTGTTTCTATATGGAACACACACGCTTACATTAATATGTAAATATGCATTTGGATTAATTCATAATTACAGCGACTAACTATAAACTGTTCAATTCGATAGATTTGATTTAAACATACGTTTATATATATTTAAATATAAATATATATTAAAAAATATATGTATACGAAATGTACAGTGAAATTTTAAGATGTGTGTGTTTTTTTTTCGTATTTTCTTTTTCTCTTTTGCATATAAATTAGATCGACTTGTCTTAAATGATTATTATTAATTCAATACGGAAGTTTCAATGAGGCTCCAAAAAATACATTTGGAGTTGGTAGTTTTTTGTATTGTTTTGTTTCTGTTTTGTATATTTTGTTTTGCCTAAACATAAAGTATTTAATAATGCCTTTTGTATTACTTGAACATGTATATTTATAGACCTAAATGAAGATTAAGGACTAAGGCTTAATTGTATATTGTTGGGAATATGCAAATCAAATGCACTGTGTATTTTTATGTTAAATTTATATATATATATATATATATATATGCCGTAGGAATATTTGTTGAAAATTTTGATTTTGTTAAATACATATATATATTTTTGTTAAATTAATTTCAATGGATTTTGAATGTACTCTAAATGATATTTGTGTTTAGTGCTGTATTTTTTCTCAAAAAAATACAGACAACAATGCTATTTTGATTTGTTCGCAGTTGCTTTTGCTAAATCTAAGCTTGGATTTCTGTTTTCCATTTTCATTTTGTTTTTGTGTGGATCGTTATTTTTTTTATTATTTTTTTTTTTTTAGTTTTTACGTAAGATCAAGATCACTTTTAAGCGATTACAGACGAAAAAAGTGTTCCTACTAAATGCTCCCTTGCAATGCGCCTCGACAATAGTAAAAATCTATATATATTTGCAATGTCTTCCCAGGAGCGCATGACACCGTTGATACCGTTTTGGATACGTTCCGGCTAAGCCGGTGTACCGATAATCCCGGCGCCACGCCTACTCCTCCATCTCCTGCCTACTTATCGTAAAAAAGTCTTTTCGATTTCGTACTCGCTATCTACGTACTCGTTTTTTGTTTTTAGTTTGTTGTATTTCTTGTCTGTTCAAATGCGCCAGCCCTGATCGTCGTCGACATTGGAATCGGTGTCGGAGGGCTCCTCGCCGTACATGTCGGCAAGTTTGCGGAATCGTGGCCCAAAATTGGACAGATAGTCGAAATTGAGATCACCATCGTCGGTGCACGAGGCCAAGCTGGACAAACTGCCATCGGAGTTGCCATCGCCCTCATACGCATAATGCCGTACATCGTCCACGGTGTTGGCGCCCGTGTCCCTGTCACAGTTCTCCTTCTTCCCACCAAGGAAGTCACCAATATCGGGTATATCATTCGGATCCCGCATGCCTGCTGCAGCATGCAACGCATGTGGATCCTTATACAGTTTCTCCTCGTAGAAGGGTTGCGTGCGCAGCACATTCAGATCATAATCGGTGTCCCGTTCGCCGCCACCCTCATCCTCATAGTTGATGATCGTCTCACGTATATCATCAATGTCCTTCTCGTGCCAGCCATTCTTCTGCTTCTTCTGCACAACCACCGCAAGCAGGATGATCAGCAGCAGTGCAATGCATGTGATAATTGCTATGATGAAATTCCTATCGATGCCAAAGCTGACGGCAACAGCCACCGCCCGCTGGCAGCCGCTGTCAATGTTGCGGGAGAGCGAGGGCATGCCCAGATTGTAGGTACGCTCATTGATGGTCAGATTGCGGACACAGCCGAAGAATCCCTGCTGATTTGGTGTATGCGTCCAGTTGAGTTGACGGCCCAATTGCGCCAGATCCACGGGAGTACCACCCAGCTGCAGCGGAGAGTTGACGTTGAGGAATTCATTTGGTCCCTGGGGTGCACCCAGGCTCATGCAGGTGGAGAGACGACAATTGTCCACGGTCATCTCGATGCTTGCCCGTTGCAGTATAATGTCCAGTTGATAGGATCGACCCGGTTGCAATTGGATATGCTGATGCTTAATGCGCACCATGCCCGATCCGTAATCCACACTGAGCACCGGATAACCCTTGTCCAGTTCCAGCGAGAGGAAGTCGGTCAGCGGCAACAGCGGATTGTAGTTCAGTGGTCCCAAATACATGATCAACCCCTGCTCGTGCTGTGGCGCAATCTCCAAACTGATGCGGGTGTTGTCGCAGGCCGAGATGGGCTCATAGAAGGCATAGCCATTGCCATAGAAACCAACGGAGACGAGTTCACAGTGAGGACCCGTAAAGCCATCGATGCAATCGCAGGCATCATTCTCGCCATAACGACGCGAGCCGCCATTGAGGCAGGGCGAGATCGGAGGCAGTGCATCACAGACACACTGCGCTTGGACGAACGCATTGACGCCGACAAAGGAGCTGGTGTTGGAGTAGATCATGTAGGGCACGGAGCTCTTGTGCAGCTCATTGGTACAGGAGCTCTCGCACTTGAGGCGCTCAATCAGACACTCATCAATGTTGACCATAAGCATTTGCAGATCCAAATCGTTCTCTAACCGTTGCTGTGTCTGCGCCACCATTCCGTTGAGCTTCTCCGGCGCATAGTAGGGTGAACCGTGAGCCGAGTAGCGCACGTCCAGTGTACGATTCTCATTCTGGAGCACCGTGAAAACGTCCACATTCGAGACGGATGTGTTGAAGAGTTTGGCCAGCGAGTGCTGCAATCGATCCTTGAGCGAGAAGGCATCATCTGCGAGCACATCTCGCGGCACACTGATGAACTCCTCCTTGGTGATGTTGTAGAAACGAATGCTGCCACTCTTGTCCACCGCCTCCTCGGGCAATTCACGCACCAACACAGTCACATCGGCGTCCACAGAGTGTCGAGGGATCAGCGTTGAATCCTCGGTCACAGTGAACTCCAGCATGTATTCACCCTCGCTGGTGCCCTCGAGTATGGTGATCATTCCGGTGCTCGGATTCAAACGGAACTGTTCGTGTGGAATGCCGCTCTTCCACTGAAAGTGCTTGTCATCCAGATCCCAATCGTCGTCATCATCGACAAAGACGCGTCCAATATCCGTGTCGGGTGCCTCGCCCTTGTAGTTGTACATAAAGATCCGCGATGATCCCTCCGACATTGCATTATCATTCACATCCCCGATAATCAGATGGAGAATGCTAACCGAGCTCTGCTTGGGAATGCCCGCATCACTGATCCGAATGGGTATAAAGTATTCCTTTTGCATTTCGCGATCGAATTGAACGTTGGCAAACAGATAATCGTTGTCGATGCTGAACTTCGTTTTGATGTCGGGCGAGGCATCGCTGTCGATGCCAAACGTGAAGGGCGGTCCATTCTGGGGCTCATCGTAGTCATTGGCCAGCAGTTGAACGACCTGGCCGGGATTGCGATTCTCCTGCCAGATGACGGGCATCTGATTGATGAGGAACGGTGCATTATCATTGATATCCTCCAGTGTGATAATCACGGGCTTCACCGACTTGAGCGTGGTGCCAACGCCATCCTGATCGCTGGCCGAGATCAGCACCTGCCAGCTCTTATGCCCGTTGGGCGGATCACGATCGAGGGGCTGAATGAGACGCAGACAGCCGCTATTATCGATGGTCAGCAGTCGTTTGTGGTCCTCCTTGACGATGGAGTACGTTATGTGCTGATCTGCAGTGCGATCCTTGATATCCGGATCGTATGCCTCAATGATGAGAATGCATTCGTTCGATTGCACGGGTCCCTCCTGAATGGTGATGCTGTATTCCTTCTTGAACAGCGGCGGATTATCGTTGACATCCTCGATCTTAACGACAACCGTTGCATAATCATCGTAGATGCCATCAAAAGCACGCACTTTCAGTTCATATTCCGTGATGGTTTCGTAATCGAGTCGTTGATTAACCGTAATCTTGCCCGTTTTCAGGCCAATCTTGAAGGCATCACCCACATTGCCACTCTCAATGCTATACACTATTTGGGAAGCATTATCCTCATCCTCCGCCTTCACCTCGATCACCTCGTAATTGGTATTCGCATCCTCGAGCAATTTATCCGCCAGATACGTTGTCTGCTGGAAATGTGGCTTGTGATCGTTCTTGTCGCCAATAGAGATGCGGAACACCTGATAGCCGTGATTGTGATCCCCGTTGTTGAACAGACTCGACGGCGAATTATCCGTTGCGCTCACTTTCACATTGTAGAAGTCACGTTCCTCACGATCGAACGTGGTCAGCGCCGTAATGTTGCCCGTCTGCGGATCGATGGCAAAATAATCCGTATTATCGGCCAGCTCGAATGTGATGATGTTATTCGCTGGTGTTCCGTCCATGTCGAAGGCTCGGACCTGCATCACGGGTGTGCCGGGTGGTTCATTCTCCAATATCGTGCCCGATTTGACTTCCGTAAAGAAGGGAATATTATCGTTGACGTCCTCCACTTTGATCTTGATCTGATGCTCGGTGGCCAATTCGAAGGTGTTGCGCACACTCATTGTCAGCGTGTAGTCCGTGATGGCCTCGTAGTCGAGCATCTTGCCCAGCTTGATGGTCACCTCGTTGCCAATCTGATTGAACACAAAGGTATTCTTGTTGTTCGTCGGCTCCGTTCGACCCGTGATCAACTCAAAGATCACCTCCGGTTTATCGGGCATGTTGGAAACGGCGCGCAGCGTTGCAATCGGTTGCGAGAAATTCTTGAGATCCTCCTTCAGGTAGATCGGTTCGTCAATGGGATCGACAAATGAGGGTGGCTTTATGGATGATTCGACCACACGGATTCGCACCTCGATGTGCGCCTCCTGCAATGGATCCGGCACAATATTATACGCACGCACATTTATCGTATATGTCTGGCCGGGTCGTCGATCGATCGGCCGATGCAGATAGATAATGCCCGATTCCTTATCGATGCGGAAGTATTGGAAGTCACGCTCCCTCAATATCTCGTACTCCACAATGCTGTTGTTGCGATCATCAAAGTCGCTCGCACTGATCGACATGACGACAGCGTCGAGCTGCAAGTAAAAAAAAGCAGAAAATTCGATTCGAAATTCAATATAGAAAAACACCCTAAAAAACCCCTAATTAAAAACACATAAGTATTCTTGGCTTTAGATTTGCACTAAGCAAATGATTATGTAACCTATTTGTTGCATAAATTATTTATTTAATATTATTAGTTTTAGTTTCTACAATCAAATGAAGCAAGCTCAACTCAATCATTAAAATGCCTTAAAGAATACATTCCTTTCTCAGTTGAAGCCAGTACACAAAGATGCACATTTTCTTAGCACTTTAATTAAGTATCAGTTAAGTCCGTTTCTGTTCTATATTCACTGGCCAATTCAAGGCGTCAAACTGCACTGAAAGCTCTTGACCGGAAAACAGTCCAACGAACAACCGAAAATCCCTCGACAAATGCAAAGAAAATGCAGAAATTACGAGTGCAACAACTGTGGTTGCTTTTCTCTGATACTAAATATAAGAAAAATATATTGATTTATATTTTATTTTTAAATTTCTTCTATTTTTAAATACTGTTGCTTATTAGCTTTTCGCATTTAAATAAATTTTAATGAAATTATTAAATTTGTTATGGCAAAGTAGATGTAAATTTAGAAAATCAGATTCGTATTTTGTAATGCAAATAATATATACTATAAAGCTAATAAAGATATATATAATATGACTTGAATTAACATTTCATTTAAAAAAATACGAAATGACACCACTGTCTTTTATAAGAATAAGTTTATTTACGCTAGTTAAATTAGTCGAACACAATTTGCAAAAATCAATAATAGCTGACAAAAGTGAATAACTAAAGCTTCAGAGAAACTTATAAGACTAGTTCAAGGCCTGATTGTTATTAAGAATAACTATTAATAAGTAATAGTTTGTAGTCCTAGTCTGCAGCCTTCAGCTATTTCTGTATTGCGATTGGGATTATGGCGTGGGAGTTGTGCGCTCAACTGGAAAAGCTGATATCCATTTTGGCCACAGGTTGAGTTCATTGTTCGCTCTCGTTGGAGTCGATGAGTCAATCGCGAAACCTTGAAGCCCCTTGAACCGCTCTATCTCTATCTGTGTCTCTATCTCTATTTGTATCTGTTGCACTTCATGAAAGCTGCCAAACGAGTCTCGAGTCTGTCTGAAAAACTGACTTAACTAACTATTTGTGTGTATGTGTGTGTGTGTTGTGCGGGGGCTACTTTCAGTTGGTTAAGGCACCCTACAATTAATATTGCAGAGCTACTTTATATAGATACCATTTATATACATGTGTATATACTTGTTGATGTACTATCAAAATATCTACACATTTATACATCACAAATGAAGTTAATTTTTGCATTTCTACTAAGTGCACTCAAATAAATCGCCTTGAAATTTAGAAAATTAGGAGAGTTCAACGTATTATTAAGAGTGCAGGTAAAAAAGTCATCAACATTTTGACAAGTATTTTATCCCAAATCTTAACTTTAGAAATTGTGCAAAAAAAAAGGAAAATATAACATCACCGAGAGATGAGCTCTCCGCGCAGGTCAAACGGCAGTAATCCGAGGTCCACGCATTTGACCCGCAACAGAGAGAGAGAGATGGAGAGACAGGGAGCGAGAGAGATAGATATAAAATAGTGGGATTGGGAATACTTACAATGGTATTCTCGGACATGGATTCGTCGTAGCGCGCCTTGTTGAAAACGGGCGGATTGTCGTTGATATCCTCGATGGTCACATTGAAGGTGCACACATCGTCCAGCGGAGGCAGTCCATTGTCCGTCGCTTGCACGGTGACAAACACGAATTTCTCGTGGATGGGTTCGTCCCGGTCAAAGGTGTGCGCCGTCATAATAACACCCGAATTGGGATGAATCACGAATTTGGGTCGATCGAAGGCGGACTGAACAAGACTGTACGTTATCTCCTGATTCGGATCCGGATCGACTGCTTGCACGGTGAACACGTACGTATTCTCCGGCTGTTCCTCCTTGACGGATGGCGCATATTCTGCACAGTTTTTGAAGGCGGGCTTTCGATTATCGCCCGCAAAACTATCATATCGCAACGGACTCGAACTGGAGACGAGGGCATCGAGGGCGGGAATGTGTAGCAGGATTATTAAGCCTAATGCCAACAGTGGGCGTGGCAATAGTGGGCAGGTGCGATTTGTTGTTGTTGTATTTGTGGTTGTTGTTTGCCGGCGACATTTTCGCTTGTGCTGCTGATGTGGCTGTTGTTGAGCGGGATTCGCATTTATAGTATTATTATTATTAATTTTATTATTATTATTGTTGTTGTTGTTGCTTTGTAACGACATTTTGTTGCATTACTTTCTGTTTACACACTGGCGCAAAGAGGCGGAAGAAAGGGGGTGTGGGGACTTTGTAACATTCACGTAGTTGAAATCATCGTAATTTTTTTTATGAATCACCCAGTATTTTTTCTATTGGTATTTGATGCTTGTATGCGTGTGTGAGTGTATGTGTGTGATACGATCGCAGGTTCACGTTGTTTCTATTGAACTTGCGCTCTTTATCGCTCGCTCTCTCTTTCACTCTCTCGCGCGCGCACTCACTCCCTCTCTTTTCCACTCTGTTAATTCACCTCAAATGTAACGCAACTCAACTCATAAGTATTTGTTTGTTTGTGTGTGTGTGTCCGCAGTTTGTTTAGACTGCATTTTCATGGCAACCGATGCCAAACACAAATACTACAACAATTACAAACCAAACCAAATCAATTAATTTATATATGTATACATATATGTATTTATTTATGTGTGTGTTGATTTAATTTTATTTCGTTTTGATTCTTTCACTTGTTTGAATTCTTCTTTGCTCTGCTATTCATTTGCGAAGTGCGCTTTGTTCGCTGCTTCTGCGGCTTATTTCACTAGGCACAAACAGGTAAATCCAGGTAAAAAGTGGTTTCACACACATATACTCTCTGCGCTTGTGTGAGTGCTTAAGAGCGTTGGATTTGTTACCAACACACATACACGTTTGTATGTGTGTGTGTGAGTACAAAGACACTTTTGTTGTCGGTTTTTAGTGACGTTTGCAAGTCATAATCACGTTTCGATTCTTTGAATTGTGTTAACAGCACTTGAATGCAGTCGGTTTTTTCTCATGTATTTTGGTTTTGTTACAATTTTTATTCACAACACACAACAACAGAGAGCCTCACGATCGTGTTTGAAAGCAACGGTTAAATCAACAATTCTCGCGTAATACGCGCGAGAGTCCGTACGAGCAACCGCACAACTCAACAGCAACAGACAGAATGAGCGGCGAGTGCGCGACGAGTGAGCGAGCGGCAACCCTATGAGTAAAGCGGCAAACCGTCAAAATATATCGAATAGAAATCGCCATCATTATGAGAGGGGCAGTGAGTAACGTTAATGTTATTTAACAGTTGCGGTTACAGCACTCTCCTTCGAATCGGTTAACTCTACGTAGCTTAACGAATACTTAAACCGCTAAAATTCAAATAGCACTCGTATAATCATATTTTGTAAATATTTATAAATGTGTGCGAAAATTTTTGATAGTTGAATTGATTAAGGACACAAGTGGTATTGTTGATAAATGTTAAACAAACCTTTCTTCATAACTTAAAGAATTTACTATTTGTTGCTCAATGTTTTTCATTGCTTTTGCAATAACAACTCAAAGTAAATTTGGAATTAAAATATCGATACATACGAAAGTCAGCGGAAAGGAAAGGAAAGATATTCCACTTTTTAATATGAAGTAGCCAGAAAAACTGAAATTCTGGATATTGATAATTTTTTCAACAACTTCAGTTTCATCTACAACTAGTGGTGAATTCAATCAATTGCTAAGTGCATTTTGTAAACCTCATTGGCCCATATGATTTAAATGCTACTCAGGATGACGTACTGAATTTAGAATCAAACTATTTTGTCTTAATTTTTTGGCATTTTTTCTTGGCGATCTGTAAGTAATCGATAGTTTTGGCAGCCCTGATTAGAGAGACCAGCAAAGATACTAACAAAAAAATACCAAGCGAAAAAGACTGTCATCGTCATCGTTCATTGTCTTCTCATTAATTGGTTGAAAACGAAAAGAAAAAAGGCCGGATTAACTTTTATATTACTAAAAAATCAATGAACTACAACTGAACAGTGGCAAAAGCACATGTGCGAAACACACAATAAATACTTGAAGTTTCGATAACTAAAGCGAAACTACAACAACAACCACAACAGCAGCGAGAAAAACCAAACACTGCCCCAAAAACCAGTCGTGAATCACCCATCGAAATAACCACAATAATAATAATAGAAATATGGAACCAACACAGATTACAGACACGGAAAAGGTGCGCATTGTGTCCGATTTTATACTGCATGCGCCGCCCGGCGAATTCAACGAGGTGTTCAACGATGTCCGCGAACTGCTGAAAAACGATGGGCTGCTCAAGGATGGCGCCAGCCACGCCTTCTCCCAATATAACAAGGACCAGTTGACGCCCGTTCGCGTTGAGGGCAGCGAACACAACGCGATCATCTCCGAATATAACGATTTAGGTGCGTATGCCAACAGCAGTTATTCACCAGCTGTCGTTGGATGGGTGCGGATGTGTAGGGAATGGGGAGGGGGAGTTTAGAGTTGCCTCGCTTCGCTTCTGATTTTGTTGCGTTTACCATAAATGGGCATAAATAGAGAAAATAAAAACACACCCGCATACTCTACATACAAATGCATGAAAAACTGCAGGGTTGTCATCGAATATCGAATTAAAATTTCAAATTTGTTTTGATTCGAGTACTAAAAATTAGATTAGTTTAAATATTTCCTTTAGATCATATTAGTAGTAAATTTTGACAAAATTATGAAACACAAGTTACAAATAAAATTTACGTAGATTAAATGAAAAATTCACTTTTTGTTAATCATTTAATCTTTTGATGAATAACCAACTCATATTTGCAATTTGTTAAAGTATTTGAAAGTCGAATATAATATATATTTCCATAATGATATTGCACACGCTTATCACTTATATCTATTATCTTTTCTGATTCACTGATATGGGTTTCTTTGTGTGTGTATTTTTGTTGCAGGCAACGGTCGCTTCTATGATCCTCGCACAAAGCAATCCTTCAAGTACGATCACCTACGCAAAGAGGCGTCAGACTATCAGGATCTGGAGGCCGATGCCAATTCGGAAACGTGGCGCGCTGCTCTCGATCTCGCAGCGCTTGCATATACAGCCAATCACTATCGACATGGCGTATGTTAATCAATATATTTAAAGCTGTAATTTATTGATATATGTACTTTAATTCCTTATAGGTCAGCTCGGTGTTCGGCAATTCGCAGGGCAATCAGGTGACGCTGACCATTTGCATTGAGGATCATCAGTTCCAGCCGAAGAACTATTGGAATGGCCGATGGCGTTCGCAGTGGCACGTTACCTTCCAGCCTGGCAGCGGCACAGCGGAGCTGAAGGGTGTGCTAAAGGTCCAAGTGCACTACTATGAGGATGGCAATGTCCAGCTGGTCTCGTCCAAGGATTGTCGCGAAAGTCTCGTTGTGTCCAACGAACAGCAGTTGGCCAATGAGGTCATCCGCCTGATTGAGGAGGCCGAGAATGAGTATCAATTGGCCATTTCGGAGAACTATCAGACGATGTCAGATACCACATTCAAGGCGATGCGACGACAATTGCCCATCACTCGGACCAAGATCGATTGGAGCAAAATTGTCTCGTACAGCATTGGCAAGGAGTTGAAGACGCAATAAGAACAAGAGCAGCAAGCGGAAGCCGGAGTAGAAGGTGGATGTGGCACGCCAGCATCTCCGTTGCCCAAGAGACCCAACAGTCTTCCACTTGCGATAACAAAGCGAGAGAAATGATGATCACTGATCGAAACCATACGAGAAAAACACACTATTTACGATCGTTAAATGTTTGGCGCTTGTGTAATAATTGTCTTTGATTTGCTTATTCTTTTTATATATATATTTATATATATAAACACACACACACATACATATATACATATATATACAACACACATGCATACATTTCTTATCTGTTATATATATTACGATGAAAGTGGATATATAGATATATATGCATAAATCTACTATGAAATCAATTCAACTTGGTTGATTGCATCTGCATTTTACAGTCACAATCGCCGCCAACAGTCGCCTTTATCGTTTAATTAAGCGTGTGTTTTTTATATGAAAACAATAATAATATTATTAATAATAATAATAATGGAATGCATGCACTTTCAAAATAATGTATTATAAATTTAGAAGAGCTGGCATCAGTTAAATCTTAAGTGAGACAGCACCTTGCAAACAAATAACAGTATAAAAAAAAGAAAAGAAAAACAAGTAACGATAAATACACTTTTATTAAAAACGAACAATAATTTAATTAATTCAACAGCTAATAAAAAAAAAAACAAACATAAATTGCAAAACAAAACGTTCTTTGTGTTTAGCAACAAAAGACTTTGGTTTTGTATTTTGAACGTTTTTTTTTATACTAATTAATATATTACAAGTTTAAGAACGCTTGCATAGTCAAATTTAATGAGAATAAATTAAAGAAATTTCAACAAGTATTTAATTTTTTGATTTTAACCCATGCGACCACCATCCGCCGTATGGACATATGGCGCCGGTTCCTCCGGCTGATGTAATGGTATTGGCTGTGGATATTGCTGTACCGTATAATTCCGATCCCCTGATGGTAATTCTGTGGAATTTTGCTGCTGGTACTCCGGATCTGTAGGCGATTCGGAGTCATTTGGCTTCTTCAGCAGGAAACGCTTGTTGGGATGCTGTTTCGTCTCCAGCTCCAGTCGATCGATGAGCCAGCCACTTTCTAGCTTATTTGTGGCCCAGAAGAAGACGGTGCCTTTGTCCTTGGGTCCACGCACCGAAATCTCGAGTTGTGCCTGGTTCGCATCACACGTGTTATTCACATTGGACATGTCAAAACCGGATTCCTTAATCGGTTCGCCCAGCAGCCCGATAGCTCCTACAAATTTCAAATATCAATACTCGTATTTGTTTACATTTTCATTGAAGATTTACGACTTTTACCCTTGTGTTGACGCAGTGTTTTCAGTGCCAATTTATAGTATTCGGTTGAGCGGACGCGATCCTCGAGCCGCCATCGCATATACATCACAGCCGAAATGGAGATGACGGCGCCATAAACGCAAATATTGCCCAGCGTTCGATTCGAAGGCATTCGCAGTTTTATTATCGGCATTTTGTTGCATGTAATGGCATCTGGTGTAGAATTTTATAATTTTGTTATCGTGTTTTTTGCCGGTTCAGGGTTGATTTCGATAGGTTTTCGCAGTGTGACCGTTTGCGCATTTGGTGGTCTGTTATACAACAACTGTGTGAACGACGTTCATTTTCCCCTTAAATACAATGATACTGTAATATAAAGACAATTAATATTGAAGTTTAATGCAAAGCCAACACAAAAATGAACAATTTAACGATGGCACTTAATTTGTTGCGACAGCGTCTAGCAACAACAACAGCTGCTCGCTGTTATGCGGTCAAGCCGGTGGCTGTGGGAGCAGGTGAGTCCAAAAATGTGTGGAAATGTGGCCAGTGTGTTAACATTTTTATTTGTTATTAGCGGGCAAAAAGAAGAAACTCGGCAAGCTGGGACCCATCATGGAGAAGAAGATAATACCGGTCGAAACGGATGCCAATAAGCTGGTAAATTATGTGTGTGGCAGCAACTACATGAAAACTGGCGAGGATGTTAAGGTGAGTGTGACTAGCGCATTCAAGGAGCATGACCATTAAATGTGCTCTGTTCTTGCAGCTCAAACCGGACGCCGAATACCCTGATTGGCTGTGGACGCTCAACACGGAACGCATTGTGCCGCTAGATGAGCTAGATCCTGATACCAAACAGTATTGGCGCCGCTTGCGAAAAATGGCTCTGCGTCGCAACAATCAACTGTCCAAGCTGAAAAAGTTTTAAGTGCAGCATTTACGCGTTGGCAATGGCTGGTCACACTTGGCAGCTTGACAGTTTGGCCTTCAAATCGTGTAACTGCCTCGTTGTTGTCTTAGGTCATCATTATTGTATTTGCCTTGCTGTTAGTGCAAGAATAAACACATTGATTATATTTATTGCTACGTTGTTGTAGCATTCTTATGTACATAATAATAACCATGTATACAATCGTTTTTATTTTACAACATCTTTCACTTAACGCGAGTATCTTGTTGATATTGTAAAACGTATAAAAGGCGGCCACCAAGTTGAATTATGAACAAAGATGCCAAAAGATTCGCTTGAAATGTTGTCTTTTATATTACTAATAATAGCAATGCTGCTTAATGCAGTTGCAGGAGCAGCCGAGCCAGAAAGTAAGTTCCTTTTCACGCTTATTATATATGTTAAATATTAATTTATATGTTCACTTTTAGAGCACGTTATTTGCTATCAGGGAACGTGGAGCGTTTATCGGCCCGGTGAGGGTAAGTTTGGTGTGGAGGACATTGATCCGTTTCTATGCACCCACTTGGTGTACGCTTTCCTCGGCATCAATGAGACTGGCGAGCTGCGCATCATTGATCCCTATCTGGATCTGGAGGATAATGGTGGCCGTGGCAATATTAAGAAATTCAATGCGCTCAAATTGAAGAATCCGACACTGAAAACACTTGTTGCCGTTGGCGGTTGGAATGAGGGCTCCCAGCACTTCTCGATCGTAGCCAGCGATGCGGAGAAACGTGCTCGCTTCATCGAGCAGACCGTTCAGTTTATACAGCGTCATGGTTTCGATGGAATTGACTTGGACTGGGAATATCCTGGACAGCGTCACAAGTCCTCTGAGAGTAATGACCGCGAGAATTATATAACCCTGCTCAAGGAACTCAAGGAGGGACTGGATCCGTTTGGTTACATGCTTAGCGCTGCCGTAGGATCAGCTGAGTTTTCGGCTGAGATATCCTATGATATACCCGCCATATCGCAGTATCTGGATTTGATTAACGTTATGGCCTATGATCTACACGGTTCTTGGGATGCGACAGTGGGCATAAATGCACCCCTCTACGCTGGAGCAAAAGATGCAACGAAACGGGAGCGCCAGCTGAATGTGGATGCTGTTGTTAAATATTGGTTAGGTGCCGGAGCACCGCCAGAAAAACTGCATCTCGGCGTGCCGTTTTACGGACGCACCTTCACTCTGGCCACAGCCGCGGATCATCTGCCAGGAGCTGCACACATTGGTCGCGGCATTGCGGGACCATTCTCGAGGGAGCCTGGTGTCCTGGGCTACAACGAGTTGTGCGGCCTCATGCAAAAGGAGCAATGGACGCAGGAGTGGGACGAAGAGCAGCAGGTGCCCTACGCATACAAAGATCGCCAGTGGGTGGGCTACGAGAACGAGCGCAGCCTGCAACTGAAAGCACAGTATGCCATGGAGCAGAAGCTAGGCGGCATTATGATCTGGTCACTGGAATCCGATGATTTCCGAGGCAACTGCGATGGCAACAAGACTCGTTATACCCTGCTGCACGAAATCAATCGGGTGCTCTTTGACCGGGAGACTCCAACTGGGCTGGTGAACACAGAGCGACAAAGCGCAATTGAGGATTATAGTTGCCCAGCGGATGTGGGCTATGTGCGAGATGCACACAACTGTTCCAAGTTCTACTACTGCAATGCTGGCACCACTTTCAAGTTCAATTGTCCCACAGGTCTCCAGTTCGACTACAGCTCGAATAGCTGCAACTATGTCAATATAGTAAAGTGCTGAAACCCATTTAACACCAGGGTTTACACGAAAAATTTTATTTTTGTCTATCAATAATGGTTGGTGTTCACTGAACAATCTTTAGATTCAGTGGCAGGTTGTGATAGTTGTAGCCATCATCGCCTGGTCGCCAGGTGACAAAGTTCTGATTGCATTTCACTTGCTTCGAGGGCTGGCACTGAGCAAGCTCCTCAACAAAATAGTCGCCGACAGGGCATTCATAGTCGGTGCGTTGAGCATGACGACACTCGTGATACAGCCGACAGTCCCACGGATGCCTAAAGAAGCCATCCTGTGGACACAGACCGAAACCTTCGGTGGTTGGTGCCTGAGTGGTGAGCGTGTTCGGATCGCCAATTAATGCGATGATCACCCGGAGCAGTCCAAAGCGTTCGCCGCATCTACCCTCGAAGTCGTCGGCATCGATGGACCAGGCCATGGCGCCACCCAAACCATGTTTCATGGCCAGATGCAACTTTGCACTGAGGCTACGTCCATTCTCATAGCTAGCCCATTGGTCATCGCCGTAGGCATAGGGCACCTCGGCCAGCTTGTCGTATTTCTTCTCCCACTTGGATGCCTGCAGGCAGAACTCGCCAACGGTCATGAATCCCGGCCGGCTGGAATATTCATGCTGGCGACCCGGTCCCTTGCTTGCAGCACCCACCATCGTATTGCTCAGCTCGTCCAGGGTGTAGGTGTGCACAAAGAGCGGCAGACCAAGCAGTAGCTTCGCTGGTATCTTGCCATGCTTCACCCAGTGGAGAACACTGCGCTCCACACTCCGGCTGCCGTTGCCATAAAGTGGCGCGTTGTAGTTAAGTTGACGGCTATATGGATCGTGGCCATCATGGGTATTTAGGACCATAAAATCAGCATTCTTTGCTATTTGGGGAATGTCATAGGCGGCCAGAGTCACTGCGTCCAAGCGGGCAGAAACCACAACCATAATCATAAAGTGATGTTCGTGTAGACTTTAAGGCAAGGATATTGAAAATATTGTCTCATTTTTTCATTAGTTTGTTTCTTACATTACTCGGAGTTCCTTCAATAAGTTGGCAAAGTTATTGCGATCGTCTCGCATGGGGTACTCCCAGTCGATGAAAATGCCATTGAATTCCCATTTGTAGAGGAACTTGATAAGCGATGCATAGAATTTGTCGCGTTGCTTTACCTCGGCTGCCATCTTGGAGAACATGTTCGACTGATCCTTCCCACCACCAATGGAGAGAATTGTCTTAATATTATCACGTTTCATGTTTACGATTTGCTCCAAGAGTCCTAATATATTTCAAATATAAAACTAATACTTTGGGATGATTTAAATTGCTGCTTACCATTTTTTACAAGCAATTCCTCGTTGATAATGCTTAATTCACCGGATCCCTTTGGATCCAAACTTGTAGCGGAGCCAAAAACAATATGGTTGCAGAGCTGTGTGTCAATCGAGTACAATCTAAAAGTGCTAAGCGACATCCGATTGTTCGACTCAATATCCCAGTGGCAAAATACCTTATCTACAGTTGAGGTCGGCAGTTATTTCATTATAATATCATATATAATCAACTTACACTCTCGATCTGCGGCATGACTAACGAGCAGCGTGCCTGCGATGAAGAAAATTAAACTTAAAACTTTCATAATTATTTGACAATCGAAAGAGAAACACTTGTAATTTGAAACTCTTTTATAATGTGGTTCAAAGGTATCAATTCTTAAGTGTTTATCGTGTATATTTTTTAAAATTATTTCTAGCTAAACTATTTTCGAGTTCGAGGTTGTGTTTAGTCTGAAAAAATGATAGTTGTTGCAAAAGTTTCTACTTTGTATTGCAAGGCTTGCTTAAACTTTTGTGCACTCAAAGCTCACTTCAAACTATTAATTGCTAAATCTTCTACAAGTTGAGGACGTATATCTAAACTCTATGGATATGTATTAAAATTCGATGTGCTTAAAATTGTTCACTTCTATAACTTTGTCAAAACTGATGCAATCTTCATCTAGATAAAAACTGTGCTTAAATTTGAAAACACCAATTATGGCAGAGATGCATGTTAATCTTTAATCTCAAAAAATGCACCAATTTATTGGTTTAACTATGTACCTTGTACTATGTACATACATATGTCTTTATGAAGATACGTATTCTTCCATACAAATGCATATTTTATGTGTGTTTTACATTGGCGCAATCAAAATTTTAATGGCTTATTAAATGGGGCAATAAAGCACAACGCAAACCATCAGGCGATATCAATATCGCGGAGAAGCCAACTTCTCTCAAAGGTATATTTCAGCTTGTTTTTCCAGTTGACGGCACAATGTGGCCTCATTCTGAATGACAACAACAACAACAAGAACAAGGCCAAAGGATACAGATGTCGCATCCGGCACTTTATGTGTCAACATTGGCAAATATTTTACGATTATTACCGATTTTAAAAACAATGTCATATCGATTTTATACGTACTCACTTGCGAAATTATATGTGTAGATATAACAATAATAATACACAAAACAGTCGCTTCTTCAAGAGGTGTCAAATGTTTCCAGGCAACTCAGCTGAATATAATCAGGCAGGTGTCCAATTCGCGAACACGGAAAAGCTTTTGGTTTTTCATTTACAAAGCGGAAAAGTTTCGCGTAAATTGAAGCATGCCAAATAGCAGTCCTGCAATAATAACTCAATGTAGCCCTTGAAATCTATGTTCATATGCAAAGTATTGGAACCTAAAAATATCGTCTAATTAGAAAAATATTAATTTATTTCCATCAACTATCCAGAAATGAATACATTTCGTGATAAGTATTGGCACATTATCGAATTTTCTAGATTATGTGAAGAACTGCAATCCTCTGTTACAAAAGTGAGTCTAAAAATTGAAATACTCCATTGAAACCGTTTAAAAAAGGATCAAAATTTTGAGGGACTAACAACAGCGACAGCAAACAAGCGCCTTATATTATATGGGAAAAACAAGTTCACATTGCTTAGGCCAGAATCGAGAATTCGAAGTTATTTGAGAAACTGTTTCTATGGCACTGGTCGCATTTTATTTGTCGATATAATTGGCTGCTTCGTCCTGTACCATATTGAGCTGCAATCGCCAAGGGAATCGAAAATCGTACATGAGTTTGGCGTAATTGGAATACTTTTCGTTATCTTATTTTTAGCCGTGGGCTATTTTCGTCAGATCCAGGCCAACGACGATTATGGAGTTGCTCTGGCTTTTAAAGATTTAATGCCCATGTATTGCACGGTTCTCAGAGATGGACGTAACCAGATTATAAAAGCCGAAAACGTTGTCCTTGGTGATATATTACAGATCACATATGGCGAACGCATAGCGGCCGATGTCCGATTCTTTGAATCACATGACCTGGAGGTGAACAACGTGGCCCTCACCGGACACTCCGTCTCTGTCCTAATTGATCCCGAGTTCACGCATCAAAATAAATGGGCAGGGAGGAATGTGGGCTTTGCCTGCAGCCATGTGACAAAGGGACACGGACGGGGCATTGTGATTGCCTGTGGCGATAAGTCCGAAGTGGGTGTCATGGCCAGTTTGAACATGGAGACACGTTCTCGAAGCAGATCACGCAAGCATATTCAACAGGTTAGCGATACTCTGCGTAATCTGAGAATATAAATAGGGGTTTCTAGCTATACATTTACTGAAGAATCAAATGTTGTCTGATCATGGCTAGATAAATTGTATACTTAATATTGGAAAAGTGCTTCTGGTTCGAAATTCATGTTCAAAATATACCCTGAAGTGCTTCCAGATTCGGGTTAAAGCTTTCCAGAGTCATAACTTGGTTTAAGGTGATCCGATTTATAAAAGACCGAAGTTTTTGATCATGGCTCAAACTCGAAATTCAGGCTAAAATTATACTTTGAAAAACTAGAAATTTGTTATCATAGTTTGACCTAAGTTAATCTCCTTTATACAGATCACTTATTATACACATATCATCTGTATTCTGATGTTTTTTATATTGGTTTGTACGATTTCGCTGGAGGGTTTGACTTTGCAGATGTTGATCGAGTTCAACGTGAGCTTGACGATTACCCTGTCACCCATCTATCTGCCCATTCTGATGTACTTTGGACTGTGGCGCACACGAGCTACGCTGCTGGAAAAGGGCTGCTATGTTCGGAATATGGAGGCAGCCTCCACACTGGGATTAACAACGGTGTTGTTTAGCAGTTTAATTGGCACTATGACAATGCGCAGCTGGCGAGTGTCGGATATATTTGTGAATGGAGCGCTGGAATCTGTGCAGCATCGTCATCAGTTCAGTGAGAACGAGCCATTTTGGCAGCTCATTCGTGCATCGGTGCTGTGCAATCGAGCTATCTTCAGTCCCGGCCAGAAGGGCGTGCCCCGCATGGAGCAGACTCTGGACGGTAGTGACTATGACAGAGCCTTGTTCCTATTTGGCATGCGCGTCTTTACAGATATTTTAGATTTTCGAAGTCAGTATGAGACAGTTGCTTCTAAGGCCTACGATCCTCTAACCCATTTACAGCTGAGCGTTCACAGGACACTCAATGATGAGTATCTGCTCATCATTCGAGGTTTTTGGAGTGTCGTACTGAGTTACAGCAGTACCTGTTTTATCAACAATAATGAAGTGGAACTGGACGCAATTGAGCGAAGAATCGTTTCCAATGTGGGCTTGAAGTTAAAGCTGGCGGGACGACACACGTATGCCTTTGGCTCGAAGATCCTGCAGCCTGATGAGCAAATGATGGCTCTAATCTCCGAGGACTTTGATTGCAATAACAAAAGGAAATATGAACAATTTATGAGTGCATATTGCAATTCGTTGTGTTTCTTGGGTCTCATTGCCACCTACGATCCGCCCAGCCATAATGTGAGGCAAGGCGTGGATCGTTGTCGCAGTGCTGGCATCAAGCTGGTCCTTATCACACGAGCCGATCTAAGCTTTTCCAGGGCCATAGCCCGGGCGGTGGGCGTGATTGGGCAGAACAGCGAGACCGTTGAGGATGTGGCCATGCGCCTGGGCATACCCGAATCACAGGTGAACTGCAGCATGATCACCGCTGCGGCCATTGATATGAAGAATTGGCACAAGAAACTGCATCATCAGCGTTGGTATGCCAGGCAGCTGCTGCTCGCCCATGCGGATCTGGTCTTTGCGGCAATTGGTGTGCAGCAGCGCTATATGCTCGTCGATCTCTGCCAGCAAATGGGCGCTATTGTCACCGCTATTGGCACCTCTGTCCACGACTCTTCCGCCATTCGACGTGCGAATGTGGGCGTGTCAGCGAGGGCCGCCTCGCAGACAAGTCAATCCTGTGCCGATATCACACTGCTGGACAGCAATTTTGTGACACTTGTGGATGCCATTGAGGAGAGTCGTCTGCTCTTCGAGAATATGAAGAAGGCGTTGGTCTACACCCTATCACCGAGCATGGCAAGCTTATTGATACACTTGTCATTCATTTTGCTGATGATTCCATTTCGCTTGTTCTTGATCGTCTCGTTGATTTTGAATTTTTTGGTTGGATTGGTGGGTGGGAAAAAAATCAATCAGAAAATCAACTTTAATATTTGTTTCTAGTTGCCAGCCTTATCGCTGTTTTATGAACCACCGGAGGAAAACCTAATGGAACACAAGCCCAAGATCTATGAAGACTTTCTATTCAACAGACGGTAATTGTTGCTTTGAATCGAACAACATATTTCTTAACACTATCCACTTGTTAGCATTATTATTGTGGCTTTTATACATGTGGGTTTGATTGAGGCCTGTGCCGTCTTTACTTCCTACTTTGTTTACATGGCCCATAATGGATTTCTACCCAGAACTTTAATTGGCCTCAGCGTTGAGTGGTACGACTATTCCGTCAATGATTTGGTCGACTCATATGGTCAAGAATGGGTAAGTTCTCATTAGCATAAGTTATTCATTATGAATTATTTTGAATACCCCTTTGCAGACAAGTGGGGCTCGCAGGCTGCTGGAGATTAAGACTTTAACAGTTGTCGTCATCACATTTATTATTATGCAGTGCATCAATCTCATATTGGCCAAAACAGGACGTGCAAATCTATTTACCCATGGCTTTGGCAACATGCGCTTAAACATTGCAGTCATTTATATGATTTGCTTTGGTTTTTTCCTCACCGTCTTGGATTATCCAACATACTTACGTATTTCGCCAGTTGAGTGAGTTTATTTCATTATCAATTTTCACAAATTAATCATAAGAAAATAATTTGTTTAATCCTTTGTAGTTATTATCCGGTATTTTGCTACATTTTGGCCATTGGTATTACTGAATATATTTTTAGAATCAGCTCGTCGTTATGTGTTGAGGAATTTCCGTGGCAGCTGGTTTGAGCATGAGACCTACTTTGGACACATATAAACAGAAAAACTCCTGTTGCAAGAATAGAAATAAATATTCATTTTGGCTTTCATCAGGCTGTCGACTTAAATAAAATAATCTTCAAATAAATTATGAATTTCTAATGTATTTTTAAAATATTGCATTTATTTTTGAATAGCTCGAAGCTGTGGTGGTGTTTGCTGCAATTACTCACATCAATATTGTACGTGTTTTTGTGTGTGGGTGTTGGTGTGGGTGTGGGTGTGTGTTCTTGTGTGTTTGAGTACCGTTTAAGTTAATTAATTATTTAAATTTGCATATTCGTATTTGAGTTTCTACATACAATTATTTATGTAGGTACGAGTAATCATTTTTGTGTTTTTTTTTTTTTAGGACTTTACACGGTTGTATTCATTCAACATCAATATCAATATTTGGTTTTATTAAATGTTTTCTTTTTAATATATTTATTTTGCTTGTAAATTGTAAATATGCCATTTTTGATTAAACTGTTGTGAACATTAATGCATATACTATTTATATTTGGTTTGTATTTGTATTTGTATTCGATTTGTATTGAGATTACACTTAGCTATGAATGCATTGAGTGCACATTTCGAGTTTTAACTTGCTTTTTTCCATAAAGATTCCTCATTTATTTATCATTTTCTATTATTTGTATAACGAGTATTTTAAATCAGCTTCTTTGTAAACAGCTTATCAATTCAAAATGCCAAACATTTGAGTAAAATTCCTTTCATTTAGTGCAAAATAGATAACGTTTCGTCCTAATTATATCAATTAAGAATTATTTTTTGTAATCTTATGTGCAGAAACTCATTGAAAAGTTTGGGTTTTAAGTGAGAACATATCGATAAGGATGATCTGAAGAAGGCACCCATTTCAAAGAATTTAGTGATGAACATTTGTTTAACTATTCTCAGAGAACTGTAAATATTTCCTGGATTCGATGTGTTGAAACTTCATTTGTGTTTTAACTGAAACCGAATATGTTTTTGTGTTTTGTTTGCTTTGGGCTCAATATTAAAACAAGCTGAAGGCGGTGGGATCACTGTGATCACTTAAATCCAAGATTTGGAATAAGTTGTGTTGCATTCAAATATTTTTCTATGCAAATGAATTTTGATTATCCCAGATGGGATATACTTTTGTATCATTCTCAATGCGATAAAAGTATTTGTGAATTATGGTTGTTTGGCTTTTGGTTTCTTGTACTCAACTCCGTCGATGCATTTTTTAGAGTTTCATATTAATTCATTTTAAAATATGTACTCCAAAAATTATTATCAATTTAAGTGGCGTGTGTTTAGGTTTGTTTGTTTTGTTTTTCTTGCTTGTTTTAAGGTTTATTTTAACACATTTTAAATATAGATTTAAGTACATATAAGTATGCATAGTGTATATATATATTTTGTTTTATGTATATATATATACATATATATATATATATATTTTTTTTTTATGGTACTTGCAATTGTGTGTGTATATTTATTTAAAGTAATTTATTTAAAGTAATTGCGTTTACATTTTAATTCTATTAAAAGTTGTTCGTTAATTTGACACTAATTTAGTTTGGTTTTTTATGCATTTTAGATTTTTACTGGTTAAGTTTTTCTTAAATTTGTTTTTTTTTTTTTTGGTTTTCTGAAATAAAACATCGCATTAAAAATACTTGTGTTATTTATTTATAATTCGCTTAGAACAAATCGTGTGTAGACAGGCTTTCTGGTAATTCAGGGAAATCAGACGATCCCTAGTTCCCCTCGGAAGCTTCTTCAAAGACATACAGTTGTGTACCCAAAGGGGCACAAAAAGCGCAAAGTATTCGCTGACGTGTGTGTGTGTGTGTGTGTGTAAGTGTGTGTGCTAGTCGATGGACTCGATTCGAATCTTGTTCGCTTTCATAAAGTGTTTCTGGTAATCCTAACTTATTTGTGTCCATTTGTTATTTGTTTGTCGTGTCTTTAGAAGAAGGAGGCGGGGCAAATTTGTAGTCGGTCAGGTGCGACCATCAGTGCTGCGCAGCATATAAAAGTCATAGGGTTAGACGCCTTGGGCGAGACTCTCCTTGGGCAGCGCTAAAATCGACTGATCCATGCCCTGGTGCGGAATGATGAAAGGTGATGCCAGCATCTGTAGTGGCCTGCACAGGTATTTATTTTTTTTGTTGTTGTGTAATTTATAAATCCATTTACAAACTCTGAAAACAACTTACTCGCCAAATGTTGAGGTGGTCACCATGGGCTGACGTACTGTGTGCAACGCCTGGGAGTTCTTCGCACGCGCCAGCAAACTCATCACGGTGCGCTTTGTGGGATTCATGCCGGAACGCGGTACGCCCAGCAGCGGTCGCTTGCGTCCCAGACCCCCGCCTGCAAATAAACATCAGCGCCCAGTTGTACCGTCGTTGTCTTGGACAACTCACCTATGTTGATGGTCTTCACGTTGCGCAGCGCTGGATGCAACAGTGTCCCGGGTGGATCGAGCAGCGTTAATGTTGATGTGTTTGCATCATTATCGCTGCCTGTCAGCTGCAACGCTGTGGCGCTGCTCTGTGTTGTAGCCAGCCCCGACATCGCCCCACCCACACCCTGTGCCGGCTTCAAAAGTCCGCCTATGCCCGCGGCAGTCAGTTGATGCTGCAACGCCACTGCCATCGCTGTTGTGTGTACTGGAAAATGGCATAGAATGAGAAAGTTGCAGTAGAAGTGATCGACTAGAAGATGCCCTCTGCTAGATAGTTACTAGAAGATGTCATTTGATATCTTAAATACATTTGTTATCCATTTAATAATTTATTTTTTTTTGCATTTGTGCATTGCAAATTTTAATTTATATATTGTTTTTTTTTTATTCTATTTAAAATTTATAATGTTTCAAATTAATTGTGTATATCTTTATATATACTCTACACTAAATAAATAAATAAATGCAAAATAAGTTCAACATTTTGTGTTTATAGTTAAATAAATAAATATATTAAAAAAGAGTCAGAATCAGTGCGTTTATTATTATAATCCAATAAATATGTTCTGCTTCTTTAATAAGAATCCAGCAGGAAACATTATCGAAGTTAAATGATAATTTGATTTACCAGCGATGATAATGTTCCTTTATTATGAATATATACATTTTTATATTCCACAAAGTGCATAAGAGAAACGCTTAACACTGAATTGCGTCATAATCTGTTGTTATTTAACGAGTTTCGATTAATGCCGCAAATTGCACTTGATTAAAGCGGATTACAAAGGCGAACATTATCAAAGCCATCTCGGTAATTTTTCCTTTTTAACTAGGATATACTCACGAGCCGCTGCTGCCGTCGCCGAATTCGCCTGCCCAGCGAGATGGTCCCCACAGGCCATGGCGGATGCAGCAGCGCTGGCGCCTCCATGCGTTTGGAGTAACTGATGGAAATGCGCTGGTTGGTGATGATGATGGTGATGTTGCTGCTGCTGCTGTTGTTGTTGCTGCTGTTGTTGTTGTTGCTGCTGCTGCTGATGGTGGTGTTGGTGCGCGTCGCTGCTGCTGCACGACTGACCGCAATCGAGCTTGTCCGGTGAGAGACAATCCATGCCGCTGGTATCGTTGTCAGACTTCTCATCGTTGGACGTGTCCATGTCGGCCAGACCACCGCCCAGGCCGCGAGTGGTATTTGTCGGACTCTGCGAGTCGTCCAGGTGGCTCAGCGTGGGCGTCGATGTCAGTGCCTGCATTTCCCACATCTGCTCCTGCCTTATATCGTCATGATAGTCCTGCGTGCAATGCAATCGAGTCAACCGTTTCAAAATATAAGTAATTAAAGTATATACACTCCTAACAGAGACACGCCCACGTTGCGGACAGGAGTGGGCTGGGCGTGACGGGCGAACGAGTAAAGAGTGCGTTTTGCCACGTTGAGCAATTAAATTTAGTTCAGGCGCAGAATACGCGCAATAAATGCGAATTTTATTGGATGTCAATTAAAAGTTCGTGTCACACTCAACAGACTACCCCTACTGCCAACCGCACACACGCGCACACACTCTGACTACCCCTCCCCTGTTAGTCCGACGCTAAGGCAGCTGTTTGGCAACAGCTGATGTATTTACTTCTACATGTGCGCGTTTCTGTGCTTAATGCAATTATGCTGAAACAGCACCAGCTGCAGAGTCAGCGCGGAGGGATTGGGGAGTATGGCGAGTATCAACGTGTCAAAAGCAACAAATTTGAAACACAGTTGGTTGTTGGTGTTTTTTTTTTTTTTTGGATGCCATCTGCGAGTGGGGGGTGGTTGAGTGGGTGGGAGAGTTTAAGGTGCCCTCGAGCGTATCTTTTCATTGCCCCCATTAAACGAGTTACGGTTAGTGCAAGAGCTGAGTGTGTATTTTTTGTTACTTGTTTTCTAGTTTGGGTTTTTTAAGCAATACGAAAATTTAGGTGGAAATTTAAAGAGAAATTTTCCAATGAAAGCTCTACTTATATTAAATGCTGTACTCACAAATTCTTTGCTTACTGAGCAAACAGTTTGATTTGACTCCTCAGTTGCATTTGTTACACGTCACAAATCCAACCAATAATTTTTCATTCATAATAAAGGCTGCCTACTTCGAAGACAATATCTCCATAAATCGCGCTGTCAGATGCCATAAACAATGTCAGATTTCAAGGATTGAACAGCTTGCGCACATAAGGCTACTCCTACACACACATATACATACACACACACACATACACACACTCACACACACATACAAAAACACACACATTTATACACGCAAAAGCATAAGCTGCACATATTTATCAAATTGAAACAGTTTATGTTTTCAAGTGCGAGCAAAATTGAAATAATTTCTATGCAAATTTTTCAGCGTAATCAGATCAGAAAACTCCATCAGCCACAATTTATGTTCCTGACAGTTGTATGTCACAGGTTTGCTAGTCTTTAGTGTGTGTGTGTGTGTGTGAGTTTGTTTCCCCTAAACTCAACCCATTTATTGTCGAAAGCCAGTGAAAGCCCCACAAGGCCCCAAAATAATTTTCAAGTTGTGAGGGAAGCTGGTCTTTTTAAATTTTTAGTCTGAGCCCAGAAAAGGGAATTTTGTTAAGTAATTTAATATGATAATAAAATTCGTTGAAACTTGCAAAACGATTTAAAAATATTTGTAAGTAAATTTTAAAATTTAAGTTAAATTAATATTGACTTAATTCTTTTATGCAGATATCAGACATCAACTATGATTAAGTTATACATTTTCCAACAAGGCTGTAATTTAATCTTTCGAATTAAACCTCGTTAAAATAAATCTTTTGACATGCTACTTTAAAGCATCATAAGAAATGTATTTATATTTGAAGAAAATTGCTGTTATTTGGGTCACCTATGCAGGGCAAGCGAGTGTGTTGCACTTGGATAGAACTGGAACTGGAGCTGGAGGTGGAGGTAACTGTAATTTAAGCTGCATACATACGAAGTTTTTCATTGAAAGCACAAAAATAAATAAATAAATATCATGGCGAGGCATGTGAACATGGCTGCATGGTGCAAGCAGGTGCATTGTAAACGAGCATCGAGGATTGTAAACGGTTAGCGTTTGTATTCCAAGTGGTCGCGGGCTGAGTGGGTGCGAATGGGAACGGGAGCAGACAGAAACCTGGAGCTATGCTGGCGCACAAGAGATGCGAGAATGCAACGGCTACAACGATAGCGATGACGATGGTGCCAGCAATGGCGACGGGGCTGAAGACGGTGATGGTCATGGAAATGCTGATGGAGTTGCAGTGGCGATAGCGTGCCAAGAGCCCACACAATGGACAGAGCTGATAGCAGCTACACGGCTACACTGTAAAAAAAACCTTTCTCTTCCTAAAAAAAACCGAACTATCCTTGCAGAGTGCATTTTAATTTTGCCGTGACGAGGAGCAGTAGATGTCTCCAACCCCATTCTTGATCAGCATGACTAGCCGATTTATATAGCCAATGCATATAGCTGTCATTCAGCTGTCGGAACTGGAAAATATCAGAGTCATCTAACAAAAACATAATTATATTTCGAACTTTGTGCTAAAATTGGAATTTGTCAGCAGATTTACAAGGGTATGTAATGTTCGGCTAGCCAAAGATAGATACTTTTTTAGAAAAGATAGAGTTTTGCAAAATGTAAAAAAATTGAACAAATTTTAGAACGTTTATTTATCAGACATGCGCCAATTTATGCAAAAACTTTTCCGTTTTCGCAAATTGGCGCATTCTGACGCCCACTTTGAAAATGAAAAGGAAAATCTTTTCCGTTTGCTCAAATTGGAGTACGGCTGTGAGTGTTATTATAGAAATAAGTTTGTAAGAAATAATATAAATATTTCTGGCATCGTCAATTAAGTGTTTTAAGTGTTTTTTCCCACTATTTTCTAGGTATTTTCCAAGCGTTTAAGAAATGTTTTTCGCTAGTTAAGAAATTATTTCTAAGAAAACAAAATTTGTCGAATCTGTTGAGTTTTGTCAGTTATGTGTTATATATTTTTTTTTCGAGTGTGCGGAAGTTTATGGAGGGCGTGTCGAGTGGAAAAGGGAGTGGGTGGTTAAATGTAATTACAGCACAATGCAATTTAGTCAGCGACGCGTGGTGGCATGGCTAGAAAGGAAGCTGACGCTGGATGCTGCTGCTGAGATGCAAGGCAGCTGGCAGTTGGCAGCTGGCAGCTGCTGGCAGATGCCAGGAGCACACGGAAGCTGAAGTCGATAACGAGTGCAACCTTGGAGCAGTATAATCTGCCAGTGTCTCTGTGACCGGCATTTAAGTTTCTTTGCTTGAGTAAATTTAAGTTGTTTCACAACTTGAACTTACTCAAAAGTGGGCAGGCAACATTAAGTCCCAATTGGGATCTTTCGAACTCACCGGAACTAGAAACCGACGCACTTCCGCCAATGCATAAGCAATGCGAGCGTGTGCCTCGGCCGGTGCCGCAAACGTTGAAATCTCGACGTGCAGGTCCTCGAAGAGATGGGCGTAGCGACTGTCGCCACTGGCCCGCAGTTCCTCCTCCTTCCGGCGGTCGCGCATCGAACCGCGTCCCAGCACGGCCATTTTGCACATTGTGTCCTCCTGGAGGCGTTTCATCGAGTTGCCTTTGGGTCCCAGCAGCTTGCCAACGAAATTGAACTGGCAAGAGAGAGACAGACACAAAATGGCCAATAAGTTACTCAATCATAATCATGATTACCATCCATCTATAACCCTATGACTCACCTTGGGATGATCACGCACAGGCACAGCCACTTTAACGGACACCTTAACTGGCTTGTCTCGCGTTATATCCAGCATCTTGAGTTTCTCTGCAATGGGCGGGGCCAAAAGTGTGTCAGTGAGTAAAAGACATTCATGAATAAATAACAATGTAAACTAAGTGAATAACGCAAAGGGACTTGACATTTAAGTAGCTGAATGTATCAACAACTTCTTTCTTCAAAGGATTTATGTCCTCTGAGCATAATCATTTAATTAAATATGAATATTGTAAAAAGTACACATGAGAAACAGAGCATTGCTTCAAAAGCAGCAGTTAAAAAGATTTGACTTACTTAATATAATGTTAAAATGCTCTTTATAAAAAATATTTGAAAAATGTATCAAGAAATAGGTCAGCTTTTAAATACTGATTACTGATTAAGTCAGCAATTAAATGAAGTCCTTCAATATTGAAGCTAGTCATTTGTTTATCGAAATCAAAGACTTTATAAATTCAACTGAGACTTAGATTAAACTTTGCGACATTCTCCACAATAAAGTATTAAAACACTCACAGTTAGTTTTTATAAACCGAACTTTAAACTATGATTAACAAAGTTTCATAATAATTGGGTATTCATATAGATACAAATTCTGAAAAGTTATAAATGCAAACACTAAATACATAAGTCCTCTATTAGAATTGAAATTGTCAATTTACTTGGCACACAATGCTTTTAATCACACCAAAATATCTTCAACAATAAATGGACTTAAAAACTTGACACCGATATGGGCTGTTTATGAACAACTGTCAAAGCGACAATTTGTAAATTTGGGTAAATCCAATCTTTTAGTTTCCAACACACAATTTGAAGTGTAAATCTTATGACAGTTGACTTTGACACGAACTCACTTCGGTGTCATGCCTGTGTGTGTGTGTGTGTTTGTGTGTGTGGGTGGGTGGGTGGGTGTATATTTATCAGTTCGTTATCTGACATGGCCTTAATCAAACTAGCAGAGCCAGAGAGCTTATCCCAGAAGAAGTTCGCACCAAAAGATATTTGCGAAACTTTTGCAAACATGTCCCTTAAACTTAGTCAGTGTCGCTGTTTGCCTGAAGGTAGCTAAGATAATACCGTTTTAGAATCACCGTTTTTAATGTTTGTAACTAATTAAGCAAAATGCTTTTGCACACAACAAACCTACGCATAGGCTCTATGGGTTGTATGTGGGAAGAGGGTTGATGCGGTGGGTGGGGAACATGGCAGGGACAAATCTGTTGACATGCCCAAACATGAAAACATTTGTGTTTGCTCTTCAGCTCAAGTCTCGTCAAGGCACGAGCAGGGTAGCCAAGACAAGGACTTGTTCACACACACACATACACATACACCTGACACACACACCTGTACACATACACACATCCCTACACACACTCGTCTACACTTTTATACCGACACTCATTAGCAGGCGAAATGGCTTTCTTAACACCTTTGACGCTGCTGCTGCTGCTGCTGCTGCTTCTCTGCCGCCGGCATAGCCACCTCCCCCCTCCGTTCATCTGCCAGCCCTGCCCCGCTTCCGAATGCTGGCCCCGGTGACTGACTGGCTCTCTGTCGACTTGTTGTCAGTGGCAGTGGCAGCAACACACGGTCTAAGTAGTTTGTTGTTGTATGTAGAGTGAGTGCACTTTCTCATGCATACATCTATACATTTACTCTATACACTGACATTTACGAGGGGTTATTATGAACATACACTGGCGAAAAATGTTCAGGTACACACAGACCTTGAAATCAGTTCAATGTGGTTCGACTCATATTAGTTTAAGTACAACTCGATATCTGAATTCAAATTAATTTCAATTTACTTAAATGAAGATGTTACATTTATGAATAAAGAATTGTTAATCTGTTTTTTAGTTTTATTTGAATTGGAAAAACACTGCAGTTTTTACAAATAAAAACAAATTCAATTTACGAATTATATTTAAAATAAATGGGAAGAATTTAATTAGAAATGTTTGTCAACATTTATTGCAAAGATTGAGAGACCGCAGAATAAAATCCAATGACACCAGTAATAAATAAATTAAAAACGTTTAAGAGCAGTGCTATTTGTACTTGAAAATATAACTGCTTTTTTTTTCAAGTGTATATATATTTTTATGTTTTGATACTGACAAAAGCATAAACAGTCAAACGGTAAGTGCAAGACCAGCTGAATATGCACATTTCCTCTCTTTGTGTGTGTGTGTGTGTGTATCTGTGAGTGTGCGAGTGTATGTAAGTAAGTCACTTTGTCTATATGTGTATGTGTGTATGTGTGTGTGTTGCTGCTTGTAGCCTATTTGTGTTAATTGTTGCCATTGCTGCATCAAAAGCACGCCTCATCATCATCTTCAGTCTGCATGATAAGAAAAACATCCATCGCCGGAGTACCTCAGTCACATATAAAGTCTCACAGATATATATATATATATATATATATATATATTCTCGTCGGTATATGTACAATATTTTGCATAATTTAACTCGAGAGTATTCTGGCAACGTTGCGTATGTGTCATTATTAAATTAAGCAACAAAATATTTGTACACATGCATAAATTTGAGAGGGCAAAAATGGGGGCAACAGAATATGCTTAACACAGCCTGTTGATTAATTACACTCGAAGAGGACTTTTGCGTTCATAATTAAGTAAATTAATTACGCAAAAATTAACAAAAGCAAAATATTTAACTTTAATCTCAGGATTTTTATTTCTTGCACAAATATTTATGCAATTTGCAATTTAAAAAGTGCAAAGTGAACATATCATTTTAACGGCAAGTTGCATTTTCTTTGATGACAGACTTTTGCAGCAAAGAGTTGAATATTGAATTAAAGTATATAATAATGAGCAGAAAGAAATGTTAAATGGTTGCATAATATTGTCATTACTGTCAACTGTGGCATGGTTTTAATGGGATACTGTATGGCGGCAGTATTTCTGTTAAACATCAACTCTCTCTCTCGGTTGGGGCATCATTTATACACGATACGGTTTGTTCAATTAATTTCCGCTTTATGCGTTGCACAATTGCAGCTATTTATTGATTTTCAACCCGACCACACACCGACGCTAACAATAATAATTATATTTATTATTCGTTTACGCTGGCTGACAATTATTTAAATGAGCCACACGTTGCATGGATGAAAAGTTTCGTGGTTCAAACAGTTGTTTTTGTTATTGTTTTTGGCCAGTTTCAGGTGAATGTAAATTTTTTGCGCCCTAATCTAGCGTAATTTATGGCCAAAATTGGCCATTAAGGTAATTAGGTATGCATTTTACGCCCACATCAACCCACGTCTCGCCTCCCCCTTCCACGGCATTATGCTAACTGCTGCTCCTAACTATTTTGTCGCCTGTTCCACGTAATTTTTGATCAGATTGCACTAAGTGCTTTCTTTCTCATTTTTTTTCTTCTGCGGGCTGCCCGTAAAATTGCTAAAGTGTTTTTGGCATTGGTCGTCTGGCATGCTGCTGATGCCAAAAATGCCTCCGGAATGCTGCTACACTTAAGGAAATGCCTTTGATAAAAGCAATGAAAGTGTTTCGCTCCGATAAGCATTCGATGAGAATTCAAACTTAATTTTCTAGTTCCGACAACGAGTAACGAACTAAATATGCATGAAATATACTTGTGAGGGAGCACTTCCTGTACAGAGTGGCCCCAGGACAGATGCTAAACATTTGCTCAGTCATTGCAATTGTTTCCGTTTGTTGCTTTTGCTGCTGCTGCTTATGTTGCTGCTGCTGTTGTTGTTGTTGCTGCTGTTATTGTGCAGCATTCAGCAGCACAATTCGCTCGTTGGTTCTTTTTGCTGCCATATTTTTCCAGTTCTTTTGTGTTTGCCTTCGTTTGGCTTTTCCAGGTCATTTGTTTGTCCGGAAAGCAGTTCCGTGTACCGCACTCTAGCTTCTTCTCTCTCCCTCTCTCTCTTTTCTTGCCTGTTGCCCGCCTACATTTCCGCCCCATGCCCGAGGGGCAGACACTTGTCTTAACATGAGGGTTTGGTCCCTGCATCACCTTTGCCCTTACCCCGTACCCAAACAAGCCTGTCACCCTGGTCATCCTATTATTCAGAAGAACCCTCTTCAGTGCGATGACGCCAAGTTGAGCATGATTTATTTTCATTTAATAAAAGGGACACCTGCATTTAAATAACATTTGGCAAATCAAACATCAAAATACAATTTGGTGAAAGTAGTCCAGTAAGTGCCACACTGCCATTTAATTAATTTACTCAAATATGCAAGAAATTCATTTGAATATATTATTTACTTTTATTTTGTTTTAAAAGTCGATGTAAGGCAAAAACAGCAGGCAAAATAAAACTAATCAGTGGAAAGTTGTAACAAAAAATTGCTTACCAATTTCTTGATTGCTGCTGAGAATTTCCAATTTGATTGTCTCTTTTACTATTTGCTCATCACTACAAATGTATTCATTTCTTGTTATACAATATCAAGTAAGACTTCTAAAAACTTTTATTTCTTAATTTTAAGTGAGAATATATACGATACTGCCCAAAATCAATACATCCGATATCAATTGATCACATGCCGGTATCAGAGTGTTATGCAGTCGGTAAGACTGAAAAAATCTCAATGCTTTGTTTTTGTTTGTGAAGTGAAGTGTAAAGTAACAGATAGAAAAGAGATGTAAGGAATTTAATTCTATATAGAGGATGAGCTGCTAAGAATGGAGGAGTACTAAAAGATTATTCTTATCTATTTGTTATTTTATTTTAAATCAGTTTTACACTCACAAACACATTTCGAAAATTGTATGTTGGAGAGCATCTCAATTTGGCTATTTATTATTAATTAATTGTGTTCTTTGCCGAAAGAAGTGTTTAAGGGTTTCAATTTCCAGTTAAGTATGGAAAAGTGTTGATTACACGCACACAGATAACACAAGTTAAATAGAAACAATGTGCTAAAGCATTGTTGGTATTAAATTCCTTTGCCCCTTTCATTCGGTGCTTATCTCGAACATGGTCGTATAAAATATAAAACACAAAATAAGACCCCAAAGGAAACCAGACGCTTTGGGTCATTGCCATAGCAATGGCCAATGGCTCATTTAATCGTTTTGCGAAAGTCGTTTCTTTAGCTTTGCTTCTTTATTTATTTTTTTTTTTTGTGGCGCAGAGCTCATGAGAGGCGTTTCGACTCTGACACTGACTGTGTGACTGACACTGGCTGCTGCTGCTGCTTCTGCTGCTGGTTTAACATTTCCATGTGGAACACCCAAGGGACGGATTACCAAAATGCGGCTCGTTAGTCAAAAAATGTGCTGCCCGAGAGCTTACAGGCCGCAGATGACGACAACGGCAAGGAGGACATCAAGCATTCAAAGAAGCAGTTGCTCCCTCGTTACGTACTCGTTCATGTTACATATGTACACATGTATCCTTTTTTTCTTTCTATCTTTTCCCTTTGTCCATTTCGTCTTTTGCAAATGTGATAGCAACAGCAGCAGCAGCAGCAGCAGCAACAGCATTGTTATTTTAAACTTCTCATCTCGTCTCGTTGAGATTGAATTTAAAGAAAAACGAGATTATTTTTCTCACTGGGGCAGTGATTGTGAACTTAACGCAGATGCTTTTTGTATCTGTATCTGTATTTGTGCTAGACGAAATGATCAAAAAGCTTAGTATTTCAATGTGAGGCGCTTGGGAAGATGGCCCTTTAAAACGATACCCCTAATGAGCTCAAATGGAGACGGAGCCGACGACAAATAGTTTTGTTTTTCGTTGCTTATCACTGCATGACGTAATCTTCTTGTATGCTTATGATTAAATTTGTACGAGTGTGTGTGTGTGTATCGGTAACAGCCAGTGTGACGACAGTTTTTACGACGGCAGGATGCCAGTCGCTTTATATCCTTCCTTAACTTTTGCACAAACAAGTCCAAGTCGAAAAGGTAGCGCTAAAAACGTAAAAGAAAAGCTCGCTGAGAAAATTCACATCTCTCGTTTGGCGTTTCCCCTTTGCTTAGCTCAGCAGCACGACGGCAAAACGGGGAGGTGGCAAAGACAACAAGACAGTTGGCATGAGGTTTTCTCAATACACCGCTACGCAACCACCTTCCCCCCCTCAACAAACCCCTCACGCAAGTTTACACACACACACACACAAAATATACAAACATTGTTGGCGCAAAGTTTACTTTATTCTGTTAGAATTTCTTTTGCACCCCAAACGGGGTACTTGAAACTGCTGAGCATTTGATTGTTCTTCCTTGCGCTTTGAAGCTGCTCAGGTTGCCTTTGCATAAACACACACAAACAAATTTCCACTGGCGCTTGAAAACAATTGAAACGGCGATTTAAAAGCGCCGCAAAAGGCTCTCCACTTAAATGTTTACGGAAGGCAATTAATACAACAACATTAGTTGATCTAAATAAATTAAACAGTTCTTACTGATTGACTGATTGATTGATTGAGTGGTGACAGCTGGCTGAAAGCTCACATCTTTAGCTTCCTTCGAGGAATTTACATCTTTTATCCAACTTAAACTACAGTTAATCGACTATTTTGATTTACATAATAAGACACTTATTTTATTGTTATCTTTAAGTCCTAAGATTTAGATTTTCTTTACTTACTTAAGAGTCTTAAAGTGGTCTCTTCAAATATTTAAAAAGACTTAAATTGTATAACAACGTCAATATGCTCATTCAATTTTGGTAAGACCATGGTATAAAATCCGGTTTATGGTTATAAAATTAATGAAACATTTTAAGCAACTTCAGCCCGTCTATAAAAAGCTGTGAAAGTGGAATTCAAAAGTTGTACTTTTATTGCATACCTGAACTTTTAAGAGCACGTTCCTCTTGTGTGCTTAAGCTGGATTTGGGTTCCATTTTGAGCTTCAAATTTCAGCCACTGCAAGCAAAGAAGAATGCAAAGAAAATTCAATGTAACTTCATAATAATAGTATGCTGTGGAATTGTTAAGCTTTCCCCTCCAGTTAAAGTCTGAACGTAAAGTTTGCGACATTTTATTATGCTAGCCGAAATAAGTACTAGCTAAGCAAATACAAAATACTTTTATCTAAAGGAAGGACACATTTCGTAAATAAATAGTTTAGCAAAATTGCTTGATACTTTTTTTTTGGGTGTGGGAGGTGGTATTTTTAAGTCACGTAAATTTCAATGAGTCACTTAACAAAAACCATTCATGTCAAGTAGTGTGTACAACGTTTTGTAAATAAAGTTAGCGCAGTGTTAACTATTCTTGTATAACACAGACTCAACTGTGTCTGTCACAGCGCCTAAATGGCCCAGATGCTAGAGATTGACCAAAGAGCATAGCATTGGCAATGAGTAACCGAGTCCATTTGAGAATGTCAAGTATCCGTTTTCATAGTCAGTAAATACGAACAACAGCCACACACATCAGATATATATATATATATATTGGCATGTAGACATGTATTTATGTTTGTAGCAAATTTTACCCGCATGCATATTTGCTCAAATCGAAAACTGGCCGAATGGGATTGGTATTGGCTGCTTGACGTGCCGGCTTTTGATGTTCACGGCATGCGACCCAATTCTCCAATGTGTAGCTGCTGGATAATTGATGCCACGCCCCATTAAATTCCAGAGTACGGTAATATAAATACGTATATACATATATACGTAGTATGTATTAAATTATAGGTAATATAATTTTCACAGCCATTAACTGGTGAGTCATGCCGCCTAATTGCCTTTTATGATGACGCGAAACATTTGTTGTTGACTTGCCCTCGACTTAGGCCAAATAAAAAAAAGAAAAAGAAAAGCAACTGAAAACTCAGAACTGAGACAACTACCTGAGAAATTGACGAAAGGATAAGCGTGGTACAAGTTCTCAAAATTAATGATGGCGTGGGCCTCAAATTCTCTGACAATGTTGTTTGTCATTGTACGTTTTTTTTATTGTTGTTGTTATCGTTGGTATTGTCTTGCCAACATGCTCTAGCATCCAACAACATCCAACATTCACCATTCAGCATCCAGCTCCGAGTTTGACGGATTTGTGCGCATTTTCAGATTAATGCTGCGATTATTGTTTACCGTAGGAATTGTGTACAGTGGAGCGTATGCGTAACATCTCGTTATCTATTGTTATTTTTAGAAACTTTCGTGATTGAGTTATAATTGCTTTTCATATTCTTGTATTTGTAAGTACTTTGCGCTACTCGAACTTGTTCGAAACTTACCCGATTACGTATGCGTAATAAATTTTATCTATTGCCGCTTACAGACTCCGTTAGTCATAAATTCATTTTCATATCCTTATTTTTGCGTAACCTTTTTGTTGAAACCTAACCGATTACGTTTACGGAATATTTATTGATCATAGAAACTTTTTATATATTTTCTTACTTCTATTAACTTTCCACTACTCCACCGATTAACTAAGCGTAGATGGAGTATATAAGTTGATGTATTGCTATTTAGAGACACATTTATCGTGAGTCAGAATTTATCTTCATATTTGCATATTTGTATGAACTACTCTTAATTTGTATGTTTAGTGATTAACTGAGCTTATTTCTAATATAATTTTATTTATTGCATTCCTCTCTTGGTTAACGAAGCGTATACGTAATTGATGTTTATTTATATCTGCCATTCACAGACATTTCTATTGCCACAATCGAAGTATATTTTTATAGAATTTTATGAATTGACTGCCAAACACATTCAAACCAGTGGAAGCAGTTAGTTTGAGCCTTGCCAATATGCAATTGATAACCACTGTGCACAGGAGCAAAGACGACACTCGAAGTAACGTTGTCTTTTGTATGCAAAATTTAACCCAGAATAAAGTCCCGTTCGGTTGTTGGGTTAGTGGGTTGCTGCTCGGTCGGGTTGGGCTGCGTGAGTGGGTTGTGGGTAGGCCGCCTTCTTCATTTGCCCGCGTTCCTGTGCATTCTCGGCATTCGCTTTGTATAGCTTTGCACGCACGATTTAAGGATAACGAGGATGGAATGCAGGAAGCGAGGCAAATATTTACACAGTTGGATGATTTAGATAAAGAAGACATGAACATGAACCATAAAACGAAGCAGCCGAACACCGAAGCCGCAGAACAGCTGAGAGTGGGCGATGCCCAACCGGAAACGGGGTGGGGGAGATGGTTGGTTGAGGGGCGGGGAGGGGGTAAATAAGCTCAAGACATTATAAAAGTGGGTTGGCATTATAAAGGATAAAGAAATTTGAATACAATGAAGAGGATTTGGGGAAAGCCGTGATTGGCGAGCGTCACTTCTTTGGTTTGCTTTTGTGGCTGCCAAGCAACAGGAAACCACCAACAATAGCAACAATAACAATAAGCAAAATAAGAAATACAAGAAATTGTTTACAAAATTAATGCAAGTATCGTGTTATTTAGTGGAATTAATAAGCATCCTGTCCATAAGCAACAAAGCTTGTCAATTTCAGCAATTAAAAGCGAACAGTTTGAACTAGCTGTCAGAAGGAGGATGTCTACAAAGATGCACACATAATGTATATGTATGTGTGAATGTATGTATGTAGGTATGTGTGTATACCTTGTATACACGCCTATTTAGGACAACCTGCACGTTTCAGCTTTTGCTTTAAAGTCCGGATCAGAAACGCAAAACAAAACATGCATGTGTAATTTATTCAAGCAGACGTGAAAAAAGAAGGAAATAACACACAAATGGAAATGGAAATGCAAATGCAGTCGGATGTGCATACAGGAATACGCAGGGTATTAACAGTACCAGCATGCCATCTCTCGCACAAACAGCACAGCTGCATCCGGCTGACTCGACTCGACTCGACTCACGTTGGGTGCCAATTTGAATGATGAAAACGGGTTCAATTGAATTTCATGTATGCAACGTGTGAATGCCACTGAAAAGCTGTCGGCTCAAACAGATGCCGTGCCACGTGCCAATTGCTACTGTTGAGTTTGCAACAAGGCCACCGGCACGCATAACAGATGAGAAATTTTCATACGATTCCGTACAGCATTTAAATTATTTGTGCCTGTGTCAACATTTGGAATTCCATAAATTTTGGCCAGTCAATGCATGCATAAGGGCGTGCTGCACACAAGTTCAGCATAGCATCAAAACGTAACCCCCTCCCTGCCCCATCCTTCCTTCCAAAAAACTAACTAAACACCCCCTCAAACCCCTACCCCACACTCTGTGAACAAATTTATTTGTTTTCTTGCTTGTTTATTTGCGCATTCGTTTGTGCATATGCGGTGGAATACATATATGAAATATATGCGAATATTGAAATGCTATTCACAATTGGCACTCTATTGCCATTTTCTAAATATCTATTTCTCTCTCTCTCTCTCTCTCTCTCTCTCTATCTCCCATCTCTCTTTCGCTCGATATCAGTATCTGTTGTTATCGTCTCTATAAATGCAGATGAAATTCCTGACCGGAAATTGTTTCACAACTGCTAGACAATTAAAACTAATGGGAAAACAAGAAAGAATGTTTTTTCTAGGTATGCCGAAGATAAAATACCCTTGTGGAATGGACTTAATCTTCTGCAAGCTCATTTTTAATCCCAAGTTCAAAATATTTGTCCATTTTTGTACATTTTATTTCTTATTGCAGACTTGTGTATTGGTAGGGATTATACGCATGCCTTTGTCGACTTAGAAACTCAAAATTCAGTTGATGCACCTGAGTAAGATACCCTGTTTATTCTCATTGGAATTGCAATCAGCACACGGATGCAGCATGATAAAATAACGAGCATTTTTTCACATTATCCTTGGGCAACTATTAATTTTTCCATTATATGTTTATATGCACTTCTTATTCGATTACTTGAAAATAATAATAAAAAAAAATGTTGCATACCTTGAACAGAATATGCATTCAGTTTGATTGTTATGTTTGGCTCATATTTGTTGATTGGCATTTTCTGTTCATTTATATATTATTGATAAGAGAGCTTAAAACGAATTGAGTAAAAATTGTAACTTAGATGGATATATGAACAAATCAAACTACTAACCTACTAACTATGAGAAATGTTATGTTCGTATCTGTGAGATACTTTGAGTGTCTACAGTCCTCAGTAAAGAGATGAATACATGCCAAGTTCAAAAAAAGTAGCTTTAAAACTGTTTAAGTTGTGTTCAGTCCCAAAATGAATATTAAGAAGTTCAAACTTCATCTCTCCCTTAAGACGAGTCCCAACCAAAATAAAAAATACCTGACCTGGCTGACCTGGCGAAAGACATACTTAAATTGGCGAACGGCATACTTAAATTAAAATTCGAAGAAGCAAGAATGTTCTAGTCGAGAGCGCTCTCGACTAGGAGTTGCCCTGAAGCGAGCTAATAAATGCATTAAATCGTTTAAGACATTTGTTCTAAGTACAGTAGATACTATGAGCAAAGTATATTTTAATGCTTTCAGGGGATGAATCGAAACTTTCTAGTATCCAAACTAAAACGATTTTGAAGAGCAGAGTGTGCTTTGTCAAGTTTTGGGTTCTAGATTAATATTTCATTGAAATTTGCAAGCCTAATTTCCGGTCAAAATTTATGACCAAATTCAACTCGCAATTTGAACAATATGTAAATGCCTCCCACTATTTTGTATACATTTACATTGATTAAAACTGGGGCCAGACCCCGAAGGTTATTAGCAGAATTTGCTGAATTGTCAGTCGAGCTATGGGTAACTAAATATGTTTATTATTGTGATACAATATTTAGTCATACAGAAAAATACATATATCCACACAAGTCAAGTGTTGGAAAGTGTCACACAGCTTTGCGGCTAGCCGCCTGAAATGAAGCACAAAAATAGTTCAGTGGCTTCCATAACCTTTTGAGGCAAACGAAACTTGGCCCAGACACACACATACATAATGCATACAGTATGAATACAGTACGGGTAATCATATGCACATACATTAAAAAGGTCATGTTATTGTTGTTATACAATAATGTGCATATATAAATGGCCACAAAAAGTGAAACTTTTGCCTTTATTGTCCGCAATGTGGGCTGTGGATGATGCCCACAATAAAGAAAATGCCAAAATGAGAGACCTTTGTGCCAAACAACAAACATATATTATGTACATGTATATTCATTATGTTGAAATTCAGTGGAAATCATTTTTGTGGTTTTCATAAGTCAGAAGTTTTGCGGTCTGTGAGAGGTCGGTACAAATATTATATATATATATATATCTAAATACTTCGAATCCCTTGGGGCGATCTCATGTTCAGTTTCAGCAGCTAATAAGCAACTACTTATTGCGAATGCCATAGAAATCCAAGCCAAATTAGAGCACATCAATAAGCATTCCGGCCATAATTTATCTAAATTAGTTTTATTCCATCAAGCCTCAACAGAGATCAGCAAATAAATGACACTCCACTTCACATTCCACCCCAGGCTCATCCAGTCCACCCCAGTCCAGTCTGAGCTGTCGGCAGTGATAAGAGTGAAATAAATCAAAAGCAATTACAAACATCCATTATCGCTTACTCTGGTCCACCCTGGGGAGTCATTCCGGTGAGTCCAAATGGATAAGTGAAGGAGACTCCAAATATATGTGAAGTACTTACATCCATACAAAAAGTAGCCGGCCATTGAATTTATCTGGCGGCTATCTGTATGACTGCTGGAGCAAAATAATTAAGTTGATTTCCCAGCCGTAATTGGGTTTGCCACAGGTGCACAGCTGTATTTCATTTAATCTTAAATACAAACAGACATCCAAACACTGCCCAAAAATGTATATTTTATATTTAATGCAAATAAGAAACGTGTTAAGCAAGCAAAAGTTTAGTTAATTATTCAATTAATTGTGAGTACAATAAAACAAACATCAAGCAGTTGATGTAGCCTTAAACCACTTACAAAGACAAGTTTAATTATTACTATTTTGATTTATTAGTCAAATAATTCAATTTTAATGCCTGAATTTCAGTCAACAAATAAATGAACTTATCAATTATGTTTGTAGAGTGAAACTAGACAGAAAATAAACAGAAAGCAACAGAGTAGTTTAAGCACACATCTAAACAAATGAATTTAAAATGAATCTTTTTAGGATAATGAATGTAGCTTACCCAGGTGATAGATATATAGGTGAATATATTCAATTTGAATCGCTTCCAAGTAGTATTGTTCTGTAAAAGTAATCCAGTTGAGATGTCGCTTTAATTGTAATACATTTATCTCAATATTCACGGGTCGTTTTCATTTTAATTTTCACTGTGCTTCGACAATTGCCTGGAAGTGCTTATTTAATGCTTTATTCATTCGCTGCAAACATTTGCACATCCACCAAATTCATCAGTACTGATTAAAGATGCATGATGCCCCCGGTTCAAAGGGGAACGGGGCGACGGCAAATAGTCAGTTGAATCGCGTCGGGGTGCCCGAGGTGCGAAGAAACAGTTCGCTTTTAATTTAAGTCTGGCTGGCGACAAAAACAACAAAGTAAGCCACAACCACAACAATAACAACAATAAGAACAACAAGAACTCTTCAGATATATCCCGCGGGCCTCAGATAATGCCATCCGATTGGGGAACCGCACGAGAGAAAAACGCGCGCGACGAAATCAACAACAACAAATACGTGAAACAACAATAACGACAAACAACGATGGCGACGAGGATTCGAATTCGGTGGCGGAGGCGGTGGCGGAGGCGGTGGCGGAGACGGAGACGGGGCGGGAGCGTAGGAGTATGGCAACGTCTCCTGAGGAGCGTCCCAACTGTTTGGCTAAGTGCTCCGCAGACGGCGCCACACGGCACCCACTGAAACACAGAACCGCCAACTTTCACTGACTAGCAGTCAGGCTGGGTATTGCGGCGGGGGTAGGAGAGAGGTGCGGTGTATACATAGGCTGCTACTGGGCTACAATGGGGCAATGTGTTCCTAGTACACCGCACACTTGACACAAGATAAATAAATTGTCTCTGCACCGCGCCGAAGTGGGCAGCTGCTTGGCGCCAAACACCTGCAAGTGCACCTGGAACCGGATGTTGGTGGGGCCGCGGGCGCCTACAACAACAACAACAACAACAATACAGGCAATAGCGTTCCTAAACAGTAGCACATCTCACTTAACCGGAGCTGTGAACCGTATGGTATGAACCGTTCCGTCAAAAGTCTAGCGCGCAACTAATGCGACCGCAGCACATTCTGTACTAACATGGCTTGAAACACAGTCACACGAAAAATCTCATCGCATCTGTGGATGCTGAGTTGGAAGGCCTCCCAATATTTGTTTAGATTCTGCGCACGACTCCATTTGGGAATCCATCTCTCCCTTTGTCTCTTTTATACTGGGTACGGTTGATATTAATGATTCTGCATTTCCGTTATGCTTTTCAAAACCAACTCAATGCTCGGCTTGGTCAGATTTAGCTATTATTAACCAACTGACAGATTGTGATTCTCAAATCTGCTGTTCAGCATTGAAAGAAGGCTTTAGTTTTCTAGTTGTAGTTTTACTAAGGCAATCAAGCTGGGCAGAGGCACCAGCTCTAAGACAGAAACTATTTGAACATTTAATATCGATGTGAAATCAAAGACTTAGAATACTCACCGGACATAAGCACTGTCATTATATTTAATAATTATAAAATAGATCACATTTGATATTACATCTTACATGAAATGCCATGGTAACGATTATGTAATATTGGATTTGCTTTTGGTCTATCAAAAATGAATTGCAAAGCAAGTTCTCTGATAACATTCTGTTCCTTGGGGCTTTCTCTTATATATACACTATATTCTGCAAAAGAACTTCAATAGCTTCAATGGCTTTTTACTGAGAGTTTTCCATCAAAGCTCTTGTAATTCCTTCGTCCAACCAATCACTTATCTCAATTTAATATAAAATTCTATTTTCTTTTATCAGAAATTGCAATAGCAGTTTAACTTCAAAAACTCCGCTTTCGAGTCTCTCTTACATAAAGTTGAAATGTGTATATTCCCATGTAAATATTGTTGCAATTAAAAAAAAAAGAAGCTGTATGTGTATATTAAGTTTAATTTTGGCTTCATCGAATGGACAAAGTCTGGACAAAGCCATAGGCAAAATAAATTTACATTCAAGTTTGTCAAAGGTAAAAAGGAAACCAAAAAAAAGGAAAACAATCAGCCGTGACGCTGTGGCCACAACGGCTGTTCACGCTCCCGTCCTTGTGTGTGTGTGTGTGTGTGTGTGTGCGTGTGTGTGTACAGGTGTGTGTGTGTGTGTGTGTGTACAGGTGTGTGTGTTAGTGTATGGTCTCCATCGTAGCCATCGTCCACATAGTCGCATATTGTAAACATCCTCAACAGCATCGAGCACAATACGCTTGGGGCCCCATTTGGATACTGTTCAATGCGCCAGAGACTTTCCTATGTATGACAAACAAACATAAACATTGTGTGCTGAAATTGAGACCGTAAAGTATCGTTTCCTCAGCTCCAACTTAACTGGCTTAACCCGAAACGAACCGGACTGGACTGGAGCGGAGCGGAGCGGTGCTCCAATGCGATGCGATGGATGAGTGCAAGTGTAAGGGTCGCTTTCCATGTTTGCGTGGCGCACTCTAATTAAAATTTTTGCCCGGGGCTGCATGGCCCCAAAATGTTTTACGAGGTTAAAGCCAAAAAAAAAAAGAAACAAAAAAAAATAGAGAACACCAAACTAAACAAGTGCCAACAGCATAATTTGGTCAAGTTAGCCAAATGTAATAAAATCGCGCCGATGGCGTTTTGTTACGACGGAAAGTGTTGAAAGTTAGCGTCGAAATCAAAATGGAATATTTACTGCATCTGCAGTGCATGTTGCACGAAGCATAATGATTTCAATTTGTATATACCCTGTACCGAATTCAAATTGACATTAGATACTTATAAGGATTAGTAAGATGACCATATTCAAATTGGCATTAGATACTTATAAGGATTAATAAGATGACAGACAGTGCAACGAATTGGTTTTTTCTCTGTAATTATTCTGTAATTATTATTATAAATAATATTCGCAGGGTTAATAGATGTGAACACAGGCATATTCTTGTGCCATAAATATATATGTCTTCATTACATTTTCTAATTCAATCTTGTCGTATCATCATTATATACCTAACTGATATACATTCAATTGCTGGATATCTTTACCAAAATGTTACACAGCTAATCATACATATTATCTTTGACTATTAATTCACAAACTTAACTATGATATATATACAAAATGCTAATTTATATTGCTAGATGCATTCAAGGGAATAATATATATGGCGTATGTCATTAATTGTGCTTTACAAAGTGTTTAATTACCTTTAGCTGTCACGACTGTCACATCATGTCAAACACGTCCGTCGCAACCGTTGACATGCTGTGAATGGTATGTTGAAAGCTCTGGAGCCGAATGAAACATGAAACATGACCAGGTTGCCACAGTCAGAATCCCCAGCAGGGCTATAGCCTCGCCAGTGACATGAGCAAAGTTGTAATTGATTTCCTGCAGCGACAGCATTGGGACCGGACACGACTACTGCACTCGAGAATGAAATGGAGCAAAATTGTAATTCATCACAATCAGGCACACATAAACACATTACACACACCAACACCAATGCATACATGTGATATGCAATTACTCGGTCCACCGAGAGTATGAGAATTTTATGCCTGCTGTAAAGTCAGTCAAGTTTTGTGGGTGCAACTCTAGTTGCCATCCCCACCTGCCACACTCGTAAAATTTCGTTTAGTGCAGTGCATTTCTTGCGGCTCAGCTCACAAAATGAAGGCAACAAAGTGTTTTGTGTTTTGTATGTTTGCCACTGTGGCAAGCTAGCGACAACACACATAAAGTTGTCAAGCACTCGAGCATTGCCAAGGCCTGACAGCCTCGTGCCTCATGCCTAATGCCTCAGCCAAAGACATTGCCACAGTCATAGCCGCACAGCCGAATAGCCATGTAGAAATACAGCCATATAGACCCATATAGCCAAAGAGGGATAGAAGCCAAATGTGCCATTTATAATTTAAGCGGGATTAAAGTTTTCCTACAATGGAAAGCCTGCTGCCTGCTGCCGGCTGTACATGCCGCGCGTCAAAAACTTTTTATGGCCGCTTGGTCGGCGTCGTGGTTCCACAACTGCAAAACTGCGAAACTCAAACTGAAAACGGCCCGAGAGTTGCTTGCAAATTTGACATCAACGGTGCCCCAGACAAACCAAAGCGGATTAAGCAACCAAGCCAGCAGTCATGCAAGTACAGTGGTAGTAGTAGCAGTAGCTTCCCGTGAGGGAGGAACGGTGCCGGAAAGGGGCGGCCAGTCCGCCCAAGGCGCCGTCAAAGTGCTATACACTTTTTATACCCTGAACTCATTGAAAATGGGCGAAGGGTATAATAAAGTCTATAATGGCCAATGTAGGTTTTGCGACTCCATTAAGTACATATATTATAGATCATTACCAAAAAAAATCGGGTCATATCCAGTTGTGTTTGTGCTTTTCTATGATGATATCAAAGACTATAAGAGCTAGAAAATATTGAGTTGGAATATGGGTTCTCGTATATCATACGTATATCGAGTTTCTTGATCAGTTTCCCGTTTCTCAAATCTATTTACGATAACAACGAACGACACAATTTTAATGTAAATTAATCATAACCATATCCTAATATTGATCAGCTGGAAAAATTTCATTAAAATCGGATAAGAAACACACGCTTTATTAGCCACAGTTATTCACTTTTTCTGCATTTATTTATGATTATTACGATTGACTGCATAATTACACAAATATATGTATGAACCTGTGAATAAAACTATATCTTTTTTCCCTTCTCTGGAGATCCCTCGCATAACTTACATTTGAGTGTACAAAGATATTTTTAAGCCAAAATTACCAATAAAACTAGAATCTATGCTTTCAACGTATTTATATAGTCAACTTCAATATTTAGGGTATCTCGTAGTCGACTTCTAGAACATTTTCAGTTGTTTCACTTTACGTTTTATTTTTGGACGTCTTTGCTTTGCACAGAGATTTAAGTTGCTACTCCTGCTTCTGCTTCTGTTTCTTCTACGGCTGCTTCTGCAACTGGTGCAATGCAAATTGTAGGTTTGACCTCCGTTTTGTTGAGGCTCCGGCTGCACAAGAGCTGTCGACCGGCATGCAAAAAAGCACGCGGCAAAGCATGTGAGCGAAAATCAGGTAAGAGGGCCCTTACTTGAGAGGGCCGGACTGCGAGATACCCTGCCAGACTGCTGGCTTATCCGTCTTTGATATTTGTCGATCATAAGGATCATATAGAAATGTCTCAGTCAGAAATCTATATTGATTTGAATTTGGTTTACACAAATCTACATTCAACATTTCCAATATCTAGCTAAAATGGGCCTTGAGCTTCTATCTCAATAAATAATATAAAGCGCTATCAAGATCATGTATGTTCTAGATAGTCGCTGTAACATGCAATATATTATAATAAAAACCAACATTTTCTGATTTGATTTACAGAAATCTATATTTAACATTACAGATATACATAATGCGGTCGAAGCTGTCTCATTCTGACTGTGCAATTTGTATTACTTCGCAGGCTGGCACGTAATATTATAATACACTACAGGGTATACAAAAATATAAATACAGCAGCAAACAGGCCATCACAGCACCTGCAATTTCGCAAATTGTCTTGAAATGGCTGAACACTCAAACCACCCACCAGCAACGAGTCAACCGAACCACCGTAGGCAGTTGTAAAATGCTCGGAAATGCCACCGGCAGTCGTTGGATTAATTATGAAAAATACCCACGACCACCACGTCCACCACGGTGCGGCACTTTGCATTGTTGTAAATTGTGTACAGAAAAATGTGCCTACACCCTCTCTACCCCTCTCTCTCTCTCTCTCTTTCACTCTGCCTCTGTAGGTCAGCGACTTAATTGTCTGTTAAGTGTTACAGTGCGCACGCAAAGTGAGCGGACAGGTGGGCTGCATATCCATGCAATGGATGGATTGCGTACGGATGTCAGTGTCTGTGTGTTGTGTGTTGTCAGCTAGAATGTTTCTGACACTTGGATGCACTTGCCACACTTCCGGGCACTTGGTGCACTGCTGTCGCAGATTCCAGCACACGCTTTTGCACGCCAAGGCCGATCGGCCTAATATGACGTGTGCTATGTATGCTTGAGTGGAAGATTGCACCGGTGCATAAAGTGGAGCATGTGAGCCCTAAAAAGCTTGATTTGTGTCTAAGTTAGGTAGAGATGACTAACTTGACAGACAAGCTCATATCAGCCCACCAGATAACCAGGCTAATAGCTTAAAGATCAATCCAACATGTATTTTAGCCACAACACATTAATAATAAATTGAATTGTATATTTGTTAAGTGGAAACACATCTTTTATGTTAAATTCATTAAACGATCGTTGGGAAATAAAAAGGGAAGATGTACCTGCATACAAAATAGCAAAGAATAAAGAATATTAATTTGTACACAATTAATACATTGAAATCTATTCACAATTTATATTATATTACTGGTCATTAAATTAAGTATAAGCTTTTATGTGTTGTAATCCCCCAGACATAAGTAATAGCTTCAGTAAAATTCTTGGTACACGAATTAAAAGTGGGTTGTTTGATTTTACTCATCTACAGTCGGCTTTGAAGCACCTCTAAGAAGTGTTTCCTTCCATCTGTGCTCCTTGCAACTAAAAATCGTAATAACTGCTATAAAAGGTATTATATTTTGTCGTCTTTGTCTCTCTCCGAATGTGCTAAAAGCCCCAAATCGGTTTACTGATTTCTTGACTGAAGCAAGCTGGTCGTAATTTAAGTAGCTTTGATTTTCAATTACCTCCACTCGATTCATATGCATTGGACGACTGTCACAGGCAAAAGCTGTCAACTGAAACAGACACACACACACACATCCATGCATACTAAAACACTCTTATTTATGTACGTATGTATGTACATATATGTATGTATGTATATAGATGTAGTTCATTGAGTTGTATGTGGTCGATATGGAGCTAGACAGTAGCCTGGCCTTGGGTAAATATTACGGTATGCGTTGGACATGAATGATGAGCTCTTTGTGAGAGAAAGAGGCCATTGTAAAACACTTAACACAGTCTGAGCCAGCAAGTGTGTAGTCCTGTTGATTTCCTCAGCCTTCGCCAATACCATCCGCCTCCACCTCATCCGGCACTTCCTTCAAGCACATCGACATCCGAAAGGCTGAAAGACTGTGCGCAATTCATTGTCGGCTTGATGAAGTGGCCAGTGGGTTGGTGGTACGCTGTGTGTGCACAGCGCATATAACACTCCATTGAGTTCTGGCCAACACTTCACACTTTTCCACAAATTACCGAAGCCTTGATTAACTCACCATCCGCAGGAGCAGGAGCAGCAGCAGCAGCAGCAACAGAAGCGACCACAACTCTCAGAAGGGACAAACCTGAAGGGCGTTTTTTTTTCGTGTAGCCAGGTTAAATTGAAATGCATTCTCTGGCATCTCGTCATTCACGTCGACATCGACTGATTGTTCAATGAAGCAAGCTGAAATACATTTTTTTTTATATTAATTAAATTCCAGAAAGGTGGTTTCCTTGGATATGTGTGTGTGTGTGTGTCTTTTTTGTAAAAGGGCTGTCTCTAAGAAGCCATAAACTATTTGCAATCACCTACAAAAAAAGAAAGAAAAGTATTTCTCAATGCGATCAACACTCTCATTAGCTAATGGCTCTGAATTTATGCTTGTAGCTTTAAATGCTTCAATCCCTGCCTGACCAGAAACCGTTCTGGTTTTCACTGCGGCCTCGATACCGCAATAGCCGTTCCATTCAATATTTTCCGAGCATTGCAGTAAAGGATTTCATTATTTTTTGCTACTGTTCTTTACACTTTGTAACTTTGGCATCTTCAGCTATCTCGACAGTTGATAAATCCCAGCATAAATTCAGCAATAAAAACTTTATTGAATATCCCATGCCTACCAATAATTTCATGAAGCTCTTGCAATACTCATCTTATGTCATAAAAGAGCATATACACTTCGGTGTTTTGAATTATTTTGACCCTGTTTTTTTTCAATATTTATTTGCTTTGAAAGTGTTTACATGGATTTTTACTGGTAGCCCAGTCTGCTTGCCGCAGAAATAAAAGCAACGGGGCCTTACAATCATATTTTTTGGTTGGCTTTTATTCAACATGAATGGCAGAAATTCAACGCAAATGCAAACAAAGCGTAAATTCTGTGAAAACATCCCGACACTGAGCCTATTGGCAGCGATTGCCCTTTGCATCGAGACATTTGGTCAACATTCTTAACAACACTCCATATAAGCCCTTATAAATGATTCCGTTTAATACTTGTATTCTATTGACTAGTGTAGTGGATAGTCATATCTATTTACTTATTTATTTATCTATTTTATGTGGACTAATAACTAACCGGCTTATTTTCCAAGAAATAAATTTTTTTTAAATAAAAACATATTAAATTAAGCTTAGAAATTAAATGCTTTACAACTACAAATTAATAATAAAATTTGATCATTTAAAAAATAATATATACTAAACTCTAAAATGCCAGAAAAAAACATTTTTGAATGGCAAACCTTATTTGAAGAAATTTAACCAAATAAATATTTTATATATTTACATAATTTAGCTGCCATCGCCATTTAAATAAATGTTAAATTATTTTATTATTATTGCTTAAAAAAATATTGTACAAATATAATTATTTGCAATTGAATTAGTTTGTGAGAAAAATACGTTTATATGCAAATTGAATTATGGCACATACGTCCATTATGGTCCATTCGTGTGCAGAATTTGAAGTATATAATTTTTATAAATGGATTGGCGAGTTAGTCCCCATTATACTTGCATGTTGACTCAGCAAAAATACAAACATAGACTAATACATGTACATGTACATTCTGGAATCCATGAGATTCAAACTCATCAATTACTGTTGAATAGATTTTGTGCATGCAATGCATTTTGCTTTTGGCTATGGCCATCTCCTGACGTGTGTGTATATCTTGTTACACTGCTTACCACTTGAATAGAACACACTAAAATTTGTTTTCTATCTCCCAAACCAGGTATGCCAGAGATTTGAGTTTTGTTTCTACTTAAAGTATATTTAATTGTTTAAAATTGACCGGCAGGTATATTAAATATAAATAAATGATTTATGGACAAAACATGCTAGATAATTTACAGGGTGTCTTATTTAAGTGGCTTGCGGTGTATGTTGCTATCGATACCATGGCTAATTAAAGCTTCTACCTGCCTGCTGAATGAGAAAACAACGAGCCATTCATCAAATGTGAACTGAATGCCAGCTGACTAGTCTTGATTTGAAATCGAGGTCGAACGAACGCAATCGCTTAGGCGTTTGCCATTCGAAACCAAAACTGTGGCAATTAAAATTGTTGCAAGCTAGAGTGGCACTCATAGAGCTGCAAATCAGATGTGCTCAAAGCCCAACAAATAAAAGTATCACAAAAAAACAAAAATAAAAATAAAAATAAAATACAAGAAAAATACATGCCAAAATCAGCAGTGCAAACTGTATTCACTTGCCACAGCAAGTGGCACTCACATTTGCATTCCCATTCGCATGAGTGTGCATATGTAATTGCGGTTATTTGACTGAGAGTCTGTTTGGTGGCATTTCGAGGGTGGAGATGTGATGCAAACAGAGAAATGGTCAGTTTCAATAATTCAAGCAATTTCACACGTGTGGTCAGTTATTCCCAATGGAGGCAACGCATCGATGGGTGCGTGGGCGTTCAGTGGCCGTGCTTCGAGTATCTACTTTATGTTTTATGCAATTTTCCCATTTGCTGCTCAAACGAAAGCCAAATGCATTCATAAAACTGATAGTAATCAATGCATCCTGGTCGGTATTCATATTCCTGGCAGGGTAATCAAGAGAATTCCACATTTTTTGTGTGTGCATGCAGTAAACCATTTGGTAGATCGATAGAATTGATTGATTCTGTTTAAGCCAGTGTTGCATTTTTTGAATATTGAATAAAAAATGTTAATATTTTGTTTGCACGTTTGCCATTTATTGTGACCCAGTTTAGAATAAATATCGCAAGTTTGGTTTGTTATTTATTTATATATATTTTAAAGTTGAAATTCGCATTGTAATTAAATAACAGCCTTTGGGGAGCAATTGTTTAATTTGCATTTTGAATAAAACTAATAACAAGCCAAACTTGCGACATTTATTATAAACTATATATATCTGTAAATATTCAAATGAAAAACCAGCAAACTTGTCGTTAAAATCGCTTAAGGCTAATGTTTACTGCGTAATCTCATTGCTTATTGTTAAACTTGTGTAAATATTAGTTTGATGAATCCAAAGAAACTTGGCGTATTCTTATGAAGAAAAATAATATTTCTAATTTTTAAATTGTTTGGCATTAGACGATTTGTGTTTTATATTATTTATATTTTTGTTATATATGCACCACGCACTATTCGAATTGTATTTAATATATATATCATTCACTTTCCCTGACCGCAATCCGTTTAAGAATTTGGGTATTCATTTGACAAAACGTTCAATTTGCCAAAAACAATTAGCCACAAAGGGCGACTGTCAATTGACATTGAAAACTTTACAATGGCAACTTTATCCCAAACGAACTGTGGCTAACACTCACTTAACTGTTAATGCTTTAGGGCACTTTGTGGGGTTGAGAGTTTAGGTCGTAGTGTTAAGTATTATTGCTGATCGCTTCATTGAAATGACTTTTGTAATGCAATTGAACTCATTTAAAAAAAATGGAAAAAAAATGAAAAAAAACGGAAACTTCAACTTTTCTCCGCAACAGTTCCTGATGTAGACAAAGGGAGACAGGAGTAAGAGAAGGCGAATGTCATTGAATCCATCAACTGTGAATGAAAAGGAAATACAAAAGCAAATGTCAAGTGCTCAATACTTGCTCGCACATTTAACGAAAAATCAGCAAAGAGCACAGTAAAGAGAAGTTGATTTTTCATAGCCGACGTGCTCGAGGTTCCCGATTCCCCAGTCCCGTTGGAACCCACCCAAAACCATGGTCACGGAAGCCAAGTGCCAAACGAGGTGCCAACTGCAGGACGCAAACCGGAATAGGGAAAGCAGCAAAAGCTGCTTTTGTTCGTTTAGTTGCGTGATATTTCTCTATGGCTGACTGCTTAATCATGTTGTGGAACAGCCGAACGTTCTCTTATGGTGGTGGTGGTTTTGGTCGTGTTGGTGGTGTTGGTGATGTCAAAAGTTAATGCCAATGCGGCGATTTCCATTTGACCTCGTTACACGACTTTCACTACACAGTCGTGGAATCAATGACAAAGAGCATTGCAAATTTCATTGTTTGATTTGCCATTTCCTTTTTTTTTACCTAAACCTTTAGCTCATTGAAAAAGAGCATAATGAAGTTGTGCAATAGTATGTAACAAGCAGGAGGAAGCATCTAAAGTGTATATATATTCTTGATCAGCTTTAACTGCCGAATCGATTTGTATGATTGTCGATTTGCCTGAGAGACTTTAGCAGCTAAAGAATCCAAATGTGGAATATATGTGTTGTCGATTTTCGAGTTATCGATGTTAATCGATTGCCAGTAGCATATAAAGCCACAGTTCGAAAGATATAGCTTACTAATTCGAATGGATTAAGGTTATTTTAGAAATACGATTGAAACTTGTATATTCATGTTATATATATTTATTGAATTATACACGCATTATTTTTATCATCTACGTATACGACTTGTGATAGATAGATAGATGTTGAGGGTATCTTCTAGTTGAGCTCTCCCGACTATGACATTCCTACATATTTTCTATGGGTTTTGGCTCCATTGTTTGAGTTTAAAAATGTTGCTCGCAATTTTTATGTCACCTCCAGCAAATGACATCCATGTGCCAGATATGTGTGGGGAATGAGGAATGCAGTTCAACACACGACCAGGCGTCAGAGAAGGGGGGAATTGTTCAAATAGTGTTTGTGGAGTCATTTGGTCACGAGTTTTTATGCGAACTTGCAAAACTGTACAAAACTACAGCTTTACTGCTTCAGCATTTATCCGCAACTCGAATGGGTCATTTTGGATGAACAGCGGGGCTATAAAACAAAGCTACGAATAAAGTCACTTAGTTAGTTAAAAGTGATTTTAATTGCAGTTATATTATGGCTCTGAGTCTAATGGTTTTCTTAT